AGGGTGGGTTGCGACAATTAAAACGCAAGCTTAGTTTTTAACGGGGCGGGGTTGAGTTGGATCGGCTCGTATTTCTTTTAGCTTGTATTCTTGCTTTTACACTTTCTTCGTAAGTCGTTTTCAGGTCTCTTTGCTGGAAAAAAAGGGCCTGGAAGAACAGGATTTCTGTCTCGCCTGTCTAGCAATGTGGCAAAGATGGGCGGGAAAGGGAACAGGCAAGCATCATCCTTGCATCGCCGGGGTTGGACTAGATGACCCGTGGATCCCTTTGAACCCTATAATTCTATGATCAATAAGCAGCCCCAGGCACATTCCCATGGGAATGACCATTCCCAAGACTCGCAACCCAGGGAAGTGAGACCCATGGGCAGGATAGAGAACACTTTTTGGGGTGGGGGCTAATCTGATTCATGCACTCAGAGCTGTGAGGCACCAAGAGAATTAAGAAGCGTATTTAGTGCCTCCTCAAGCCCACGCGGAGGGACGCGGGTGGCGCTGTGGGTTAAAGCCTCAGCGCCTAGGATTTGCCGATTGAAAGGTCGGCGGTTCGAATCCCCGCGGCGGGGTGCGCTCCCGTTGTTCGGTCCCAGCGCTTGCCAACCTAGCAGTTCGAAAGCACCCCCGGGTGCAAGTAGATAAATAGGGACCGCTTACTAGCGGGAAGGTAAACGGCGTTCCGTGTGCTGCGCTGGCTCGCCAGATGCAGCTTGTCACGCTGGCCATGTGACCTGGAAGTGTCTGCGGACAGCGCTGGCTCCCGGCCTATAGAGTGAGATGGGCGCACAACCCCAGAGTCTGTCAAGACTGGCCCGTACGGGCAGGGGTACCTTTACCTTTACAACCCCACGCAGGGTTATTCGGCCCCCCCACCCCCCGTTATAAAGATTTCAGAAAATGAAAAAGAAAGAAATCTTGAAATATTCTGTACACCACTGTAACGCCGTTTCAACACAACATTCTGGCAAAGAGGGTTTCTCCCCTGTGAGAGTTCTCTGATGTAAAGTAAGATTCCTCCTGAACCCCTTTCCACAGTCTGTTCCCTTTTAGGGCATCTCCCTCTTCCTGCTCCGTCTTCCGCTGCAATATTCAGCCCCCCCCCCAACATTTATGTGGTTTCTCCGGCGCTGACTCTCCCCTCAAGCCCGTTCCACCCTCCATAACTTAACATGGTTGCTCCTGTGCTCCCCTGTGTAGATTATCTGATGAGCCGTAAGGAGCTGGCTGGGACTCAGGCCCTTCCCACACTCCACGCATTTCGGGCTCAGCCCCTGTTCGCACTCCGCGCATTCCGGCGTTTCTGCCTGAGCGTGTTTCTTTTTATGCCTGTTGAGACTGATGCTGCGACTGAAGCTTCTCCCGCACTCGAGGCATTTGTAGGGCTTCTCGCCGGTGTGGGTTCTTTCGTGCGCCGTGAGGATGGAATTGCGTCCGAAGCTTTTCCCGCACTCGAGGCATTTGTAGGGTTTCTCCCCGGCGTGGCTTCTCTGATGTCTCTTCAGGGTCCCGCTCCTGTTGAAGCACTTCCCGCATTCCACACACTCGTACGGTTTCTCCCCCGTGTGGATTCTCTGATGTGCAGTAAGAGTCCCGCTGTCACTGTAGCTCTTTCCGCACTCCACACACTGATACGGTTTCTCCCCTGTGTGGGTGACGCGGTGCCGATTGTAGTCCGATCTGCATTTGAAGATCTTCGCGCACACGGGACACTGGATCCCTCGCTTGCCTTTGGGATTCTGTTTTGGGATCAGGAGTTCACGGCCTTCAGCCACCTTGGAAAGGGAGGATTTGATTTTCTCGTTCTTTGACTGCTTCGCTTTCTGCCTTTTTGATGCCTTTGGATCCTTAAACGTTTCCTGTCCTGCTTTTTGCTTCATTGCTTCGATAGAGGGTTCCTTCTCACTTTCGCTCTCCTGCCAATCAGCTGCTGGGGGCGGAGGGAAGGAAAGAAAAATAAAACCCCACAGTTAAACATGGGGGAAAAGAACAGCACACCAAAGAAACTCGAATTAATTCAGAACAATTAGAAATCATTTACAGTGGTGCCTCGCAAGACGAAATTAATTCGTTCCGCAAGTTTTTTCTTCTTGCGAGTTTTTCGTCTTGCGAAGCACGGTTTCCCATAGGAATGCATTGAAAATCAATTAATGCGTTCCTAGGGAAACCGCTTGCCAGGCTGGCGGTGCGGAGAAGGGCTTTTCTCCCCACCGCAAGCCTTCAGGACAGGTACGGGAACAGAGGGGAAGGCGCGCAGCGCTTTCCCTCTGTTCCCGGGGCTTGCGTGGGAGGAGGGTTTTTCCTCCCCACCGCCAACATTCAGAACAGCATTCTGAATGTTGGCGGTGGGAAGGAAAACCCTCCTCCCACCCCAAGTCTTCAGGAAAGCCATCCGAAGCCGGGCGGCGGGAGAAGGTGTCCCCGCCCCGCCGCCCGGCTTCGGAGCTTCGTTCCGAAGCCGGGCGGCGGGAGGAGGCGTTCCCGCCCCGCCGCCCGGCTTCGGAGCTTCGTTCCGAAGCCGGGCGGCGGGAGGAGGCGTTCCCGCCCCGCCGCCCGGCTTCGGAGCTTCGTTCCGATGCCGGGCGGCGGGAGGAGGCGTTCCCGCCCCGCCGCCCGGCTTCGGAGCTTCGTTCCGATGCCGGGCGGCGGGAGGAGGCGTTCCCGCCCCGCCACCCGGCATCGGAGCTTCGTTCCAATGCCGGGCGGCGGGAGGAGGCGTTCCCGCCCCGCCGCCCGGCTTCGGAGCTTCGTTCCGAAGCCGGGCGGCGGGAGGAGGCGTTCCCGCCCCGCCGCCCGGCTTCGGAGCTTCGTTCCGAAGCCGGGCGGCGGGAGGAGGTCCGAGGACAGTGGGGAAGACGCGCTGCGCTTCCCCGCTGTCCCGGAGATTTCCCTATGGGCTTTCGTCGTGCGAAGCAAGGCCATAGGGAAATTCGTTTTGCGAAGCGCCTCCAAAACGGAAAACCCTTTCGTCTAGCGGGTTTTCCGTCTTGCGAGGCGTTCGTCTTGCGGGGTACCACTGTATTTATTACGTTTGCATACAAGCTTTTCCTCCAGGGAGTTTAAGGTGGCAAACATTATTTCCCCCCCCCCTTCCCATTTTACACTGGTGTAAATGAGACGCGGTGTCCTTGCTAGTACACCACTGTTGTCCCAAAGCTGCTGGGAACTGTAGCTCTGTGAGAAGCAAACTACAGTTCCCAGAATTCTTTGGGGGATATCATGCAGCTCTGCGCTAGGAATCCATCCCTTCAGTAGCCCTCAGCCACGGAAAAAGTGCCTTTACCTGCACAGACCTCATTACCAAAATCCTCCATCACGACTTCCTTGTAGAGAGTTCTTTGGCCTGGATCCAGGAGATCTCACTCCTCTTTGGGGGTGTGCACACCCGCCGCCTCCAACGTCACCAGTTACTGAAAGAAAGAAAAAAGGACTTTCAGTTTGAAATGGTTGTGGGAAATTGCAGGCAAATATAACTAGCAAGCGTAGGGCTGGTTAATGCACGAAGGGGTTAAAACCACAGAAGTTTATTCCTAGACTCAGGTCATGTTCCTGGAAGGAAGTTAATTTTCCTAGTTTGTTCGTTTTCTTTCATCTTGTGAACCCACCTTGCTCGCTACAAACTCAGACCGCTGTTTCACTATATTTTATATCCCAAGATTTCTGCCTGTGTTTGTTTGTTGCTGCATGGATAAATGCACGAACCTGACTTTAGGAACTTTGTAAGTAAAGTCGCAACTGTATTAACGGTGTTAAGAAAAAGGAAACAAACTTGCAAGACGTTTCCGTCTTGCGAAGCAAGCCCATAGGGAAAATCGTCTTGCGAAGCAGCTCAAAAAACAAAAAACCCTTTCGTCTAGCGAGTTTTTTGTCTTGAGAGGCATTCGTCTTGTGAGGTACCACTGTATTTTTATTATTATTATCCCCGCATTGCAGGGGGTTGGACTCTACAATTCTACACGATTCTATGGCACTTTGCAGCTGCAAAAACCAAGATTCTTGGGACCGTGGAGTCGCCTTCCTTATAGCCTCATTTTTTGGGGGCGTTTTTTTAAGAGGGTCTGTTTCTCCTCTTCCAGGAGCAAGGCTGCTTCTTCTGCACCAAATCAGCCCCCCAGCCAAATCTTCGGGGGGGGGGAGGAGGGAGGCTTCAAAAGAGCCTTGTGCAAAGGGAGCACCCAGCTGATGGACCCCCATTTTGCAACCTGAGCTCCTGGGTCAAAAGGAAACTCTGAGCCTCTGAACCCTTTACCTCTTTGGTCCTGCCCTGTGCAGCATCTGCCTCCCGGCCAAGGGACGCCGCCGGGCCTCCTTCCCCTTCCTGGAGGACCAAAGCAAGTGACTCCCTCTGGCCTCCCCCCAACGTGACAAACTTCCTGCCCCTCTAGGAGCCGCAGCTCAGTGTTTTTAACCATCGGAAGACTGAGCGTCAGAGGCTGCCTTCTCCTAGCTTTCCCCAGCGGCTGCCATGCGCCCGGTATTTTCCGGACAGAGGATGGACGGGATTTCGGGAAGCGGCAGGAAATTATATACTGCACTGTACAGTGCTGTATACACAAACAATCGACTGTCCGGGAAAATCCGGGCGTGTGGCAGCCCCTTTCGGAAGTGTTGAGTTATTGGACTAGATGACCATTCTGTACCCTTCCAACTCCACATTCTACGAAGTGTTTAAAGGGGTGTGCGGCACCTTGGAGCCGGGGTGGAGAAACCGAGGGGATCAGGGTTCAAATTCCCACGGATTGAGCTTGGGCCCTCACTAGGTTGTTGTGAGTGTATGTGTTGGGGAGGAGGAAAGAACCTTGCCCACCACCATGAATTCCTTGGAGAAAAGTTGGGACAGAACTATAATGTATGAAAACAAAGTGATAATATTCAACCTGCTTGTGTTCAGTTCAAGCAGAAAAGGACCTTTAAGGGTTAAGGGGAGAACAGAGTTCTCCATTTTCCCCCCACCCTAGAGAGGAAGGAAATGGAAAGCAAGGGGGACCGCAATGAGAGTTGCACCTTCTCCTTCTAGGAACTGGGCTTTTGTGTTCCCTTTTTGGAGAAAATTGGAGGAGGCTTATGCCTGTGGATGCTGAGTGTTACAGGTGCATTCATTTTAAAAAATGGGGAGAATATAGGTGGCTGGTTGGACTTGGGAGAGGGGCGGCTGCAGGAGGAGGAGAGAATGAATGGTAGTGGAAGGGATCACTGTGCAGTGGCAGAACACCTGCTTGGGGTGCAGGAGGTCCCTGGAGTGATGCTGCCAGTCAGTGTAGACAATAGGTAAAGGGACCCCTGACCATTAGGTCCAGTCATGGCTGATTCTGGGGTTGCGGTGCTCATCTCGTTTTATTGGCTGAGGGAGCCGGCGTACAGCTTCTGGGTCATGTGGCCAGCGGCTTCTGGCGAACCAGAGCAGTGCATGGAAACGCCGTTTATCTTCCCGCTGGAGTGGTACCTATTTATCTACTTGCACTTTGACGTGCTTTTGAACTGCTAGGTTGGCAGGAGCAGGGACTGAGCAACGGGAGCTCACCCCGTCTCGGGGATTCGAACCGCCGACCTGATCGGCAAGGCCTAGGCTCTGTGGTTTAACCCACAGGGCCACCCACGTCCCGCGATAGAAACATAGGAGGCGGTTATATTCAGGCAGAGGCTCTCCAAGATTTCAGGCAGGGGATGTTCCCATCCATGCCAGGAGAGGTCAAGGATGAACCAGGGGCCTTCTGCATGCAAAGCAGATGTTCTGCCCATGAGCTATGGCTCTCTAGGTCATTATTAACATTGGAAGCTGCTGTCTCAGATCATTTGTCCTTTTGTCTCAGTGCTGTAGACACTGGCTGGCAGCAGCTTTCCAGAGTTTCAAGAATAATAATACACAATTTATTCTTTCCTACATTTGCAGAACAAGACAAATGGCCTGAGCTAAGAGACAGGCATCCCCAACCCTGTGAGTGAAAATGGCTGCAGAAATCCCAGCAGCCTCTCTGGGTCTCCAGCTCCAGTGGGCAGCAGAGGCCGGTGCGGAGACAGGAATTAAAACGGAGCAGGCGGAATTGGCAAGGCTGGCGCCAGAGATGGCACCGGAAGGGACTGTCTGCCTTGGGGGCACAGAGGGACTGCATCCGAGCTGGACGGAGCCACAACGTATCAAAGAGGAGTCGGAAGAGGAGCTCTCGTCCCGGCAATGGGAAGCCCAGTGGCAGGAATTCCTCCGGACTGTGCAGGCCCCACACTCTGGGGGAGAAGGAAGCCCACAGCTCCCAGGGGATGGGGCATGGGGCGAGGCGAAGCCTTCTGGGTCCTCCTTTGAGGGAGCAGCCATTCCCAGCCAGTGGGCTGGAGCAGGAGACAGCAAGACCAGTCTGCCTCCAGGAACAGCTCAGCCGGCTGCTTCCAGACCAGCCGCTGCCAGCCAGGGAAACATCGGGCAAGCAAAGGAAATCAAGACGGAGGACGTCAGCAGCTCTGAGGCTCATCGCCAGCTCTTCAGGCAGCTCTGCTACCAGGACGCCCAGGGCCCTCGCAAGGTCTACGGGCTCCTGAGGGAGCTTTGCCATCAGTGGCTGAGGCCAGAGCAGCACACCAAGGAGCAGATCCTGGACCTGGTGATCCTGGAGCAGTTCCTGGCTGTCCTGCCCTCGGAAATGGGGAGCTGGGTGAAGGAGCGAGGCTCAGAGGGCTGCATCCAGGCCCTGGCCCTGGCAGAGGAATTCCTCCTCAGGCACCAGGAGGCGGAGAAAGCGGGAGGGCAGGTGAGAGAAGCATTTGGGGGTCCAGAGTCGACAAAGGGGTTAAAGAAGTGGCCATTTTGCTTAAGAACACGACTCCTCAATCACCCAATGAATGGTTGTGGCTCCCCGGAGATTAATGCCAGGGATACTCCAAGCTATACATGCCGAGAAGTGAATGTGTTCTCTCTTGCTCTGCAGGGGCTGAATGGGAAAAATGTTTTCTCCTCCTCTTTCAGGGACTGAGGACCATTGCAGAGGCGGCTGCTTGTGTCACCGAAGGAGAAAAGCAGGGAAACAGGGTGACTTCAGGTAAAAATTATTTCTTCGCACTTGAATCGTCGCTGGAGGGAGAACTGAGGGGTTTTGTTGTGAGTTTACAGGAAAATGTGATCAAAATATCTGTGTGTCAGATAGGGCTGGGCGATACCTGGTTTTCTACATCGCGATACAAGCTGATATACCAATACAGTCATACCTCAGGTTACAGATGCTTCAGGTTGCGTGTTTTTGGGATACTGATGCGCCGAAACCTGGAAGTACCGGAATGGGTTACATCTGGGTTTCGGCACATGTGCAGAAGCGCCAAATCGCAACCTGCGCATGTGCAGACGTGGCGCTGCGGGTTGCGGGCACTGCGGGTTGTGAATGTGCCTCCCGCATGGATCACGTTCGCAACCCGCTGTATATCACAATGTCTGAAAGTATTGCAGGAGGCATGGCCACTTGAGAAAAACTTTTCTCTATCCATTTTCTCCATGCCCAGAGTGGCTGCAGAAACCCAGGCAGATGGATGGAGAATTTATTATTATTATTATTATTATTCCGTGCATAATTTGATAGACTTCTCTCGTGTCACCTTTTACTTGATTTTCCCCCAAACCCTTGTGGGAGAAAAATTGTGTTGGGGTTCAACACAGAAGCTCACACCAAATTCACAATTAGACTTAATGTGGTAATCCATTAGAGGGCAGAGTCCAGAGAGTCTGTGATTGCTCTCAAACTATATAGGAAAATGCACATTACCTTGGCTGTTTCTGATGGATTGGATCCTAAAATTCCTAGGTCTCCTGATGAATAATAGAGTCCCAGAAGCGTATACAGTTGTACCTTGGTTTACGAACTTAATCCGTTCCAGAAGTCTGTTCTTAAACTGAAACCGTTCTTAAACCGAGGCGTGCTTTCCCTAATGAGGCCTCCTGCCACCGGAGCTCTTCCACCATTCGGATTAGACTGATTAGACTGAGGTAAAGTTCTCAAACCAAAACACTATTTCTGGTTTTGCAGAGTTTGTAAACCAAATCATTCTTAAACCGGACTCTTCTTAAACCGAGCTACCACTGTATTTGGAATGGAGGCGTCATGTAGTAATAATACACACAGAGTCAATGGTCCATCAGTAAAAGGAAAACTTTTACTAAAGGCAAAAAGGCTTCATTACAACAAAAAACAACGACTGCAGAGTAAAAACTGCAAATGTGCGAGGTACAAACAAAAGAGAGAGAGAGAGAGAGAGAGAGAGAGAAGCTTGCTGAGCACACAAATTTATCTCTCCTGGCTCAGCATGACCTTCAGATAGTTAGAACAATATTTGCAACAGAAATGAAGCTTCTAGAATGAACTAGAATCTTCCAGCATTTTCCAGATTCTTCCCTCAAAGATTTTAGTTTCATCCTCTGGCCAAGCACCTCATTGTCCCAACCTCTATAATCCATCTGCACTCCTTAGAAACACTCAAACCACTTTTTTTGCAGTATCTGCAGACCCTTTCTCGTACCTTATCTGCAGTTGTCTTTCACTCTAGCCTCATAATGGGTTTAATAGGATTTCTACCTCACGCTGCAACCTTTTCTCATGGGAAGTTGCTCCTGTTCCGTTAATTGAGACTCGTATCTCCCTCTCCTCTTGCAGGTGTTGGCGGAGAAAGCGATCAAGATGGCAAAACGCTGAAAGGGGAAACTGAGGCAAAGCAGGTGTGGAAGACAAAACGTGTCGCTCCCAAAGGCGACGATGTGCATGAAGTTCAGATCAAAGAAGAATATTGCGTTGGAAACGACAGGACTGAATTCCCTCTATGTGCAAAAACTTAGCTAGTAGGTCACGCCTTAGAGCAGACAGGAGAATGCACGCTGGGGAGAAACCGTTTAAATGCGCCGACTGTGGGGAGAACTTCAGTAGCCGGAAAAGCTACGTTATCCACCAAAGAATCCACACAGGGGAGAAACCTTATAAATGCTCGGACTGTGGAAAGAGCTTCAGGCAAAGGATACAGCTTACCATTCATCAGAGAATACACACAAGCGAGAAACCCTTTACGTGCTCAGAGTGCGGAAGGACTTTCCGTTGCAGCTCGAACCTCATTTCCCATCGGCGAATCCACACGGCGGACAAACTCTTCCGATGTTCGGCGTGCGGAAAGAGCTTCAACCGGAGCAAAAGTCTGACGTTGCATCAGAAAATACACATGGGGGTGAAACCCTTCAAATGCTCAGAGTGCGGGAAGATCTTTAGCAGGAGCAAAAGTCTTAACTCGCATCTAAGGATCCATATGGGGGAGAAGCCATATACATGTTCGGAGTGTGGGAAAAGCTTCCGTAGAAGAACTAGCCTTACTCTGCATCAGAGAAGCCACACGGGGGAGAAGCCGTACATGTGCATCCTGTGTGGAAAGAGGTTCAGCAGGAGCTCAAACCTTCGGTCTCATAAGAAAATCCACACTGAGGGGAAACCGTATAAATGTCTGCAGTGTGGAAAGAGCTACCGTCACAGCATCACCCTTGGTATTCATCAGAGAAGCCACACAGGAGAGGAACCTTTTATGTGCCCAGTATGTGGGAAGAGATTCGGTCATAAGCATCACCTTACTTCACATCAGAAAATACACACAGGCGAGAAGCCATTTGCCTGTTCCCTGTGCGGAAGGAGCTTCAGCCACAACATCAGTCTTAAGAGACATCAGAGAATCCACACAGGGGAGAAGCCGTATAAGTGCTCGGAGTGCGGGAAGGACTTCAGTCGGAGCACCAATCTTAGGTCCCACCAGAGAATCCACACGGGGGAGAAACCGTACACCTGCTCCGAGTGCGGAAAGAGCTTCAGTCGGAACACCAGCCTCACTTACCATCAGAGAATCCACACGGGGGAGAAACCCTATAAATGCCTGGAGTGCGGAAAGAGCTTCAGTCGGAAAACGGGTCTTACGTCTCACCAGGAAACCCACAAAGGGAGGAACCGTATTGGTGCTCGGAGCGTGGAAAGAGTTTCGGCAGTCACATGCCCTTTAACTAACGCGAAAGAAACCGTGGAAGGGAAAATGGAGTGAATCCCAATGAGCACAGAAAGAACTTGTGCTGGCATGCAGATCTTCCAAATGATCCTTCTCCAGAAGGTGGTGTGTAAATAATTTAGACTGGATATTTTCCGGACTTCTTTTTCCCCCAAATTTGTTGTTGTTGTCGTTTAGTCATGTCCGACTCTTCGTGACTCCATGGACCAGAGCACGCCAGGCACTCCTGTCTTCCACTGCCTCCCACAGTTTGGTCAAACTCATGCTGGTAGCTTCAAGAACACCGTCCAACCATCTCATCCTCTGTCATCCCCTTCTCCTTGTGCCCTCCATCTTTCCCAACATCAGGGTCTTTTCCAGAGAGTCTTCTCTTCTCATGAGGTGGCCACAGTCTTGGAGCCTCAGCTTCAGGATCTGTCCTTCCAGTGAGCACTCAGGGCTGATTTCCTTCAGAATGGAGAGGTTTGATCTTCTTGCAGTCCATGGGACTCTCAAGAGTCTCCTCCAGCACCATAACTCAAAAGCATCCATTCTTCGGCGGTCAGCCTTCTTTATGGTCCAGCTCTCACTTCCATACATCACTACTGGTTTTCAAATTTAGAAAAATGCAAAAAAAAAAGAAGAAAAAAAAAGCTTACGGTGCAAAACATGCCATAGTATGTTGTATAAATAAGTAATACACAATTAACTGGCTCAGGCCTAAAAATACAAAGGAAAAATGCAGAAGAGAGAAAGGGAAGAGTGTGTTTGTGTGTTTTGCCTCGCTCGGGTATTTCCTTGAATTCTGTGGACGCCTCTCGCTTGTCTGGATGAAGGATGGAGATTTTGGTATGTGATCACCAGAGCCTTCACAGCAGACCTCATGATCAAGGTTTCCCAAACTTGGGTCTTCCGCTGTTTTCGGACTACAGTTCCTATCATCCCTGACCACTGGTCTTGCTAGCTAGGGATGATTGGAGTTGTAGTCCAAAAACAGCTGGAGACCCAAGTTTGGGAAATACTGGGCCAGATGGTATGCGGAGAGGGGTCTTCCTCAGGGAAAGGTAACTGGCAGACAGGTACTATTGCTATTTCCATTATAAAAGCCTTTATTTTCCATTATAAAGCCTTTATTTTGTAGCATAAAGTTTATACACTGCTTGATTATGTTTTAAAAAACACACCTCAAAGTGGTTTACAAAGAGAACGAAAGAGTGAAATAATAAGAAAAAAACCCTCTTAAAACATTCAAAAGATAAAATCAACAATAAGCTAAAAACGGATGCAGCGGCACTCTACATATCTGGGTTTAATAAAAATAAATGTTTTTAGCAGGTGCTGAAAGAGTACAGTGAAGGCACCTGCCTGATGTCCCTAGGCAGGGAGTTCCTTAGTGAAGGACCTGCCACACTAAAAGATTGATTTTGTACCAACGCAGAACGGGGATTATGTGGCGTCTGTCAGTTCCGCAGACGGAAGTGGTCGAGTGGGCAAATACATTTTATGTTCTTTTGTAAAATTCAATCTTTATTATTTTTAAAATATATACATTTATACAACACTCTGTTTTTGTTTGCAACCAAAAAAGAAAATGATGGCAACTGAAGCAAAGGTACTTTGTATACCTCACAGCACACATGACACTACAATTTATAAAATAAAAGAAAGAAGAAAAAGTAGTTGAGGTTTCAAAAAAGACTTCCAAACATTCTCATTGCACGTTATCTGTTAAATACACTTTCACCGCAGTCTACGGCTGCATGCACTCTATATACATGAAAAGCACGTGGCTTCCCGCAGCAGGAACTATAGTTTCCCCCCTTATGGTGCTACAGTTCCCGGCACCCTTAAACTACGGCTCCCAGAATTCTTCTTTTTTTGGGGGGGTGTTAGTCGTGCTTTAAAAGCACGGCGCGCTTGCAGGCTAAGGGTTAAAGCGAAAGAGTCCCGCTTCCTAGAGAGGCGGCTGGAAAGAAGGAAGGGATTTATGAATGGGAAGAGTCGCATCCTGCCCCTCCCCCGCGACTGGGGGAGTCGGAGGCAGCCTTTGATCTCCCTCCCCCGCCCCCCACGCGCGTCAGCCTTCCTCTCCCTCTCTTCCTTCCCTCCCCCCTTTCCAAACAAGGGATCTGGTGAGTGCAAACCCCTCGGGGTGAATTGGGGTCCCCGGGGCTGCCGTGGAAGGAGGGTGAGTGGGGAAACTGAGGCAGGGGGGAGAAGGAGGGCTGGGATTGTCGGAAGGGGCCTCGCGGAGAGACTCCAGCCGGCGCTGCAAGGCGAAAGGCAAGGAGGCAGCCTCAGAGTCAGGCAGGCTTCAAAAGAGGATACGTGGAACTGCTTGGACTTGGAAAGGGACCCCGGGGTCATCTAGACCAACCCCCTGCCATGCAAGGAATCCCCGGGTGGGCTCGAACCACCAGCCTTCCTGAAGAACTTCCTGACAGTAAGAGCTGTTCGACAGTGGAATTTGCTGCCAAGGAGTGTGGTGGAGTCTCCTTCTTTGGAGGTCTTTATGGCTTGACAACCATATGTCAGGAGTGCTCTGATGGTGTTTCCTGCTTGGCAGGGGGTTGGACTCGATGGCCCTTGGGGTCTCTTCCAACTCTATGATTCTATGATTCTAGTCAGCTAGCTTCCCTTTCCTCCGTCGGAGGCAGCAAAATTGATGATTTGCATTGACTGGTCCATATCCAACATTATTGTTGTTATTGTTATTGTTGTTCACTGACAGACTTTCATCTATAATAAAAGTACATATTAGCCTCTATTCATAGAGTTATTTCTACAGGCCATTTACATTCCGTGTGGGACGCTGCTATCATAGGCAATGTGCAACATTATTATCGCTTTTTTAATTAAATTTCTATACTGCCCTTCATCCAAAGATCTTGGGGCTGCAAAGAAGAGGCGAGAGGCAGAGAGTCGCCTTCTTTGAGAATAGTCTTGGGCTGGGGTATAGTTTAGGGGTTTTCATACCTTTATTTTAGATCTGGTTACGTAGGAATTGTTCAATCTGATTTTGTATTTTTGAGTGTTTCGTTTATTGTTTATGATTGCTTTTGTTGCGCTGCAATTGTGCATTTTTCCCATGTTGTATGGTCTGAACTGATACCATGGCTCATTCCGTGGAGCAAGAGACTCTGAATCCGAGGTTCGTGGGTTCAAGCCCCACATTGGGTGGAATTGAACCCGGGATCTTCTGCATGCAGGACAACTGCTTTACCCCTGAGCTATGGCCCTTCCTGGATTTTGTAGCTTTTATTCTGTGCCGGATGAATTCCCTCGCTCCCACATCCTCATTCCCAGCCTCTCATTTCCCTCTTGCTTGCCTTGTTTACAGGAGGAAACCTTCATCCTTAACCAGGTGGATTTCCAGTTTTTCCTGCAAAGTACCTTCTCCGCTTGGCGACATGTGCAATTGACCTGTTTCCTATGCTGGATTCACCTCCACCCTAAATCCCAGGCCGTCAGAAGATTCGGCAGCAAGGGAAGGAGCCGCTCCCGACCTCTTGGGAGCCACAGATCGAAGATGGGAGAGCGGGAGCTGGCTGGTCCCTAGCAAGACAGGACCCTTGCGTCACCCAGACTAGGAGCAGCGGGGGATTCTGGGAAAGAACCGCACAGGAGATCCCAGGAGAGGAGGTCGTCCTCAGCTCAGACGCTCAGCGCCAGTTCTTCAGGCGTTTCTGCTACCAGGAGGCCGAGGGACCCAGAGAGGTTTGCAGCCGACTCCACCGCCTTTGCTGTCGGTGGCTGGAGCCAGAGAGACACACCAAGGCTCAGATCCTGGATTTAGTGATCCTGGAGCAGTTCCTGGCTGTCCTCCCCCCAGAGATGGAGAACTGGGTGAGGGAATGTGGGGCAGAGACCAGTTCCCAGGCGGTGGCCCTGGCAGAAGGTTTCCTCCTGAGTCGGGCAGAGGAGAAGAAGCAGGAAGAGCAGCAGGTGAGAGATTCATCCAAGTAGAAGCTTATTTGCATGCAGTGTAAGACTATCAGTCTGTATTGGCTTGTGGTTTTGTTCTGCCTGCCAGAGGCAGTAGATGTCTGTGAATTGCAGTTTCTGGGACTTACAAGTGGGGAAATTCCTGCTGTTGTGCTCAGGCCCTGTTTGTGGATGTTCCAGAAGAGGGCTCTGTTTGTCCACCGTGAGAACAGGAGGCTGGACTGAATGGGCCACTGGATTCCGCCAACAGGGCTCTTCTTAACCTTCTTGTTTTTGCCCCTAAGCAGAATATTTTTAGGACTCGCCTTATTTTTGAGATTGCAAGTTGTTTTAAACTGTTTTTTAATATTGTGTTTTAATGTTGCAAGCTGCCCTTGTGCCTTAGCGTGAGAGCGGGTAATAAATCCAATAATAATAAATATAATAATAATAATAATAATAATAATAATAATAATAATAGTAGTAGTAGTAGTAGTAGTAGTACAGTGGTGCCTCGCAAGACGAAATTAATTCGTTCCGCAAGTCTCTTCGTCTTGCGGTTTTTTCGTCTTGCGATGCACGGTTTCCCATAGGAATGCATTGAAAATCAATTAATGCGTTCCTAGGGAAACCGCCTTCAGACCAGGTCCGGGGACAGTCTGTCCCCGGACCTCTTCTGAAGGCTGGGGGGGGGACAAGGGCTTTTCTTCCCACCCCCGACATTTTAAAAAACCCTGGGACAGCGGAGGACTTCTCCGCTGTCCGGGGCGATTTAAAAGCCCCTGGGAAGGCAGGCAGGGGGGACAAAGACTTTCGCCCCCCGCCCGCCTTCAGAAGGTGTCCCCGCCCCCCATCCCCGCTTCGGAACAGCTTTCCGAAGTGGGGCGGCTGGGGCAGATGTCCCCGCCCCCCCTCCCCGCTTCGGAACAGCTTTCCGAAGTGGGGCGGCTGGGGCAGATGTCCCCGCCCCCCCTCCCCGCTTCGGAACAGCTTTCCGAAGTGGGGCGGCTGGGGCAGGTGTCCCCGCCCCCCTCCCCCCTTCGGAACAGCTTTCCGAAGTGGGGCGGCTGGGGCAGATGTCCCCGCCCCCCCTCCCCGCTTCGGAACAGTTTTCCGAAGTGGGGCGGCTGGGGCAGGTGTCCCCGCCCCCCCGCCCCACTTCGGAACAGCTTTCCGAAGTGGGGCGGCTGGGGCAGATGTCCCCGCCCCCCCTCCCTGCTTCGGAACAGCTTTCCGAAGTGGGGCGGCTGGGGCAGATGTCCCCGCCCCCCCTCCCCGCTTCGGAACAGCTTTCCGAAGTGGGGCGGCTGGGGCAGGTGTCCCCGCCCCCCTCCCCGCTTCGGAACAGCTTTCCGAAGTGGGGCGGCTGGGGCAGGTGTCCCCCCCCTTCGGAACAGCGTTTTAAAATGCTGGGGGTCGGGAGCGAAGCGCTGCCGACCCCCAGCATTTTAAAATCTCCCCGTGTCCCGGGAAGATTTTAAAATGCTGGGGGTCGGGCTGCCGACCCCCAGCATTTTAAAACCTTCCCGGGACACGGGGAGATTTTAAAATGCTGGGGGTCGGCAGCGAACGCATCGCTCCCGCCCGCCAGCATTTTAAGATCGCCCCGGGCAGGCGGGGGGAAGGCAGGCGGGGGGGAGCAAAGACTTTTGCCCCCCGCCGGCCTTCAGAAGAGGTCCTCTTCTGAAGGCCGGCTGTGGGCGAAAGTCTTTGCTCCCGACCGCCAGCATTTCCCTATGGGCTTTCGTCTTGCGATGCAAGCCCATAGGGAAATTCGTCTTGCGAAGCGCCTCCAAAACAGAAAACCCTTTCGTCTTGCGGGTTTTCCGTCTTGCGAGGCATTCGTCTTGCGGGGTACCACTGTAGTAAGGTTAAAATAGATTCAGGTAGGTAGCCGTGTTGGTCTGATGCAGTCTATATAGATACACACACACACACACACACACACACACACACACACATATATATATATATATATATATATATATTGGTTTTGGTGTCCTCGGGTGTCTTCCCGTGTAAAAGTTGGGGTGTCTAGGCGACGTTTCGACGAGGTCTCACTCGTCATCTTCAGGCTGGTGCTTTCGGCTTCGCGACGTTTCGACGAGGTCTCACTCGTCATCTTCAGGCTGGTGCTATATATATATATATATATATATATATATATATATATATATATATAGTCCAGTAGCACCTTAGAGACCAACTAAGTTTGTTCTGGGTATAAGCTTTCGTGTGCATGCATACTTCTTCAGATACTTCTTCAGATGCATGCACACGAAAGCTTATACCCAGAACAAACTTAGTTGGTCTCTAAGGTGCTACTGGACAATTTTTTTGTATATTTCAATGTTCAAATAGTAATGGTAAGTAATAACTCTAGCGAGCTCTGATTGTGTGGGATGGTATCCTAAGAATCTCCACTAGTGGCTCAACTTCTCTGGAAATCACCCAAGAAAGGGATGGTTTATGTTACTTCATTTGTGTTTTTCAAACTTCTATCAGTCACTCTTCCCATGGTACTCTGGGAGGTGTAGTTCTGTGAGAGGAACACGCCTTTGGAACACGCAGCACCCTTAAACTACAGTTCCCAACATTCTTTGTGGGTGGAAACCGATGGCTCTTCAAAGTGGTGTGATAACTGCTTTAAATGCACAGGGCCGATGGGGCCTTTGTAAGGCAAGGCACGTTGTAACTGGTTTTTAAAACGTTTTGACCATTTTACAATGTTTGGGGTTAAAAATATATATTTCTTAATAAGCCAAAGGTAAAGAGTAGGGACGCGGGTGGCGCTGTGGGGAAAACCTCAGTGCCCAGGACTTGCCGATCGTATGGTCGGCGGTTCGAATCCCCGCGGCGGGGTGAGCTCTCGTCTTTCGGTCCCAGCTCCTGCCCACCTAGCAGTTCGAAAGCACCCTTAAGTGCAAGTAGATAAATAGGGACCGCTTACTGGCGGGAAGGTAAACGGCGTTTCCGTGTGTTGCGCTGGTGCTGGCTCGCCAGAGCAGCTTCGTCACGCTGGCCACGTGACCCGGAAGTGTCTCCGGACAGCGCTGGCCCCCGGCCTCTTAAGCGAGATGGGTGCGCAACCCCAGAGTCGGTCACGACTGGCCCGTATGGGCAGGGGTACCTTTACTAAAGAGCATGCAGAAATGCCAAAGTATTGCAGTAGGTTGGAAGCAGTAGAAGGTGGACATTATCACTGAACTTGTTCCAAAACATTACTAAAATTACCCATGTTTTGGGTGTTGTTTTTTTAAAAAATTAATTGTGTATCTGTTTGCCGCCTCAGCGGAAGAAGATTGGGATGCAATAAATAAATTAATTCAATAAGGAGATGATGATTATTTTTATCTCAGCCTTCCTCTCACAAGAGCCCAGCGCAATGAATGCTTTTTGTGGGGGATGGGGAGGGAAATACAGTGTTTAAAACAAAACCACAGTAGAAAATACAATGTTTAGGTGGAATATGTCCTTGAGCTCAGAGCATGATTCCTGCTTGTCTGTATAGAGACACGAATGCAAATATTAATTTAAATGTATGTGTAGAAACCAGCTTCCTTCACAAAAACATCATTTGCATTTCCCACTCCACCCACTATGCGGCCCTCAGAATGTTGCCCAGATGGGAATTTGGCCCCCACGCTGGAAAAGCCTCCTTTCATCTGCTCAGAACTCAGAACCTTCCCTTTTGCTTGCATCCTTTTCTTTTCTGATTTCTCTCCTCTCCCTCACCTGGGTCCCTTACATCGCTTCCAGCCCCAGACGCTGCCAGCAGAATTGGTCCCCGCTTCCTCCGAAGCCGAGATGCCTCCGTCGGACTCCAGGCGGAGTCGGCCCTCCTGGGGGATCGCGCAGGAGGGCGAAGGGAACCCCAGCTCCCCGGGTAAGAATGGGCAGAGAACATTTCAGCTTCTGCCGGGTGTGCGTAGGAATATAATAACAGTACAGTGGTACCTCGGGTTACAGACGCTTCAGGTTACAGATGCTTCAGGTTACAGACTCCGCTAACCCAAAAATAGTACCTTGGGTTAAGAACTTTGCTTTAGGATGAGAACAGAAATCATGCAGCAGTGGCGCGGCAGCAGCGGGAGGGCCCATTAGCTAAAATGGGTGCTTCAGGTTAAGAACAGTTTCAGGTTAAGAACAGACCTGCAGAATGAATTAAGTACTTAGCCCGAGGTACCACTGTATAAGCTGCCTTATCCTGATTCAGATCATTGGGTCTATCTTAGATTAGTGTGTCAAACGCTGATTGGCATATTTGAATCCTGGCGTCTCCCAGAGTCCTAGCCGGAGACTCTAACCACTACAACACACTGCTGTGCGTGCTCTCTCTCTCTCTCTCTCACTCACTCTCACTCTCTCTCTCGCCTGAAACACTAAAAAAAATGTTCCTAAAGCAATGCAATACTTCCCGCCATTGTTGTTGTTGTTGTTTAGTCATTTAGTCGTGTCCGACTCTTCATGACCCCCTGGACCAGAGCACGCCAGGTACTTCTGTCTTCCACTGCCTCCTGCAGTTTGGCCAAACTCATGCTGGTAGCTTTGAGAACACTGTCCCACCATCTCGCCCTCTGTCGTCCCCTTCTCCTTGTGCCCTCCATCTTTCCCAACATCAGGGTCTTTTCCAGGGAGTCTTCTCTTCTCTTGAGGTGGCCAAAGTCTTGGAGCCTCAGCTTCAGGATCTGTCCTTCCAGTGAGCACTCAGGGCTGATTTCCTTCAGAATGGGGAGGTTTGATCTTCTTGCAGTCCATGGGACTCTCAAGAGTCTCCTCCAGCACCAGAATTCAAAAGCATCAATTCTTCGGCGATCAGCCTTCTTTATGGTCCAGCTCTCACTTCCATACATTGTGTCATTTCAGGTGCAGGCATGCCAGCAGCCACGCAGACTGAGCCTTCTCCTCTTGCTGGTGGAGGGGCACCTGTGGCACCTGACCAGGTAGGTAGAAGTTTGGGGACAGGCTGGGTGCCTCTGTCCCTGGGCTACTTGTCAAAGGACAAAGGACACACGGCGAGAGGCTATGTGACACCCTTTGAGGGGCAAAGTTGACCTGCTCAGCCTCGCCCTCCCTGCCTAGGATCCTTAGAAGGAGGAGCAGACTGAACACAACACCTCTTAACTGCTGCCAGAATTATTATTGGTCAAAATTGGTGGCGGGGGGGCGATGAGAACAACACCCTCAAGAGAAAATCCGGGGCATCATATGCCTGGTTACCAATATGGTGGAAAAACAGACCTGATGATTTCGTTTCCAGTCTTGTAGACTGTTCCAGAGCATTTCAGAGTGATGTGCAACACGATTAAAATAAGTTGAAATGCCAAAAAACGAAACAAAACAACAATAAAGCCATTCCAACGTAGCACGGACAGCGAGCCCCTTCTGAAGTTGTCACAGGGTGACTGACGTGATTTTATCGTTTCTCCACTCCTCCACATGCAGCTGCTGGGTGACCTTGGGCCAGTCACACTTCTCTGAAGTCTCTCAGCCCCACTCACCTCACAGAGTGTTTGTTGTGGGGGAGGAAGGGAAAGGAGAATGTTAGCCGCTTTGAGACTCCTTAAAGGGAGTGAAAGGTGGGATATCAAATCCAAACTCCTCCTCCTCTTCTTCTTCTTCTTCTTCTTCTTCTTCTTCTTCTTCTTCTTCTTCTTCTTCTTCTTCTTTATATCTCCTCTCAGACACAGATAAGCATGTGACCTGGCGTGTAGCACTCTTTGCAACTGCTGCTAGGAAAATTAGAGCAAATTATATAGCCGAGGTAGCCACCAACTGTAAAGGAGATGGATTTATTTGACCCGATCTACATCAAGCTATATTCTTTCTTTATCAGCGAACTCTGAATATAATTGCACATTGTATTAATTAACATTATTTTTTAATATATTAGTAGCCATGAGATTTTAGCTTATAAATTTTATTGTTTAATGTCTCGATTTGTATAAGGTACTTTTATAGCTCTGTTTAGAGTAGGTGATGTCTTGATAATATAAATGTTTTAAGTTTTTTGTATCAATTCAGTATATTTTCTTTTAATTGTTGAATGATTCTGTGTACATTGCGGCAGCCTTTAGCCATGTGCAATAAAACTGACTGACTGACTGACTGGTGCCAAGCCCTGCCCACCAGCCAAACTGGCCTGTGGTTGGTGAGAGATGCCAGGATGTGGCTTACAATAATTGATTATAATTGTTTGTTTAATGATGAGAATCCATTCTATAGTCTGCAAGGAGAAACTGTTTTCTTCTTCTTCCCCTTCCAGGGTCTGGTGACGTTTGAGGAGGTGGCTGTGGATTTCACAGAGGAGGAATGGGCCTTGTTGGATCCAGACCAAAGAGCCCTGCAGTGGGAAGTCATGGTGGAGAATTATGGGATTCTGGCTTCCCTGGGTAAGGCTTATTGATTTAACAAAACCTATATACTGCTTGGTTGCATTTATTTTTTAAAGAAGCAAACTTCTAAGCACACAAAAATGATAAAACATTAAAATCATCAAGAAAAGCAACTAAAAGCAGGTATTTAAAACATTCAAAAGATGATTAAGAGGTCATTAAGATGATTAAGAGATAAAACACATGCCTAAACAAAAATGCGCTAAGCTGTCACTTGGCAAGGATTTCCAAAGTGCTGCCACATTAACAGATAGATTTCTTACATTGTTTTGAGTCCCGTGTTTCTTCTCAGTACAGTGGTACCTCAGGTTACAGACGCTTCAAGTTACAGACTTCGCTAACCCAGAAATAATGCTCCAGGTTAAGAACTTTGCTTCAGGATGAGAACAGAAACCGCGCGTCGGTGGCAGTGGGAGGCCCCATTAGCTAAAGTGGTACCTCAGGTTAAGAACAGTTTCAGGTTAAGAACGGACCTCCAGAACGAATTAAGTTCTTAACCCGAGGTACCACTGTGTGTAAACAGAGTCCTTATCTAGAGGTTCTGCACAGGAGTCACCTTAAACCAGTGTTTCCCAACCGGTGTTCCGCGGCACTCTAGTGTGCCACGAGACGTTACCTGGTGTGCCGTGGGAGGGAGGCGGGCGCTTTCTCGTTCGCGCCCTGCAGCGAGAAGGGCAGCGCAGCGCCGCAGAAGAGGCCCAGGAGGCAGCAGGCGCCCAGCGCGCGCCCGAGTCCTGCCCAGCTCGCCATGTCCGCCCGCAGCATTGGCGACCCGAGCCAGGCTCCGCGCGCGATGCCCCGATCCCGGCCGGCGGGGGGGAACGCCTCCCCCCGCCGCCCGCCATCGGGACGATGCCCCGATCCCGGGCGGTGGGGCAGGAACGTCTCCCCCCGCCGCCCGCCATCGGGACGATGCCCCGATCCCGGGCGGTGGGGCAGGAACGCCTCCCCCCGCCGCCCGCCATCGGGACGATGCCCCGATCCCGGGCAGTGGGGCAGGAACGCCTCCCCCCGCCGCCCGCCATCGGGACAATGCCCCGATCCCGGGCGGGGGGGCAGGAACGCCTCCCCCCGCCGCCCGCCATCGGGACGATGCCCCGATCCCGGGCGGGGGGGTGCCTCCCCCCGCCGCCCGCCATCGGGACGATGCCCCGATCCCGGGCGGCGGGGCGGGAAGCCTGGGCGCGCTGATCTCGGTGCGCCCAGGCTTCGGCATGCTGGCACCTGTCCGCAAGCAGCGGCAGTGCTGCCGCTGCTTGCGGAGAGGTCCGCGAAGCCTGGGCCGGTCAGCTTTTGAAGGCAGGCAGGGGGAGCAAAGACTTTCGCCCCCGCCAGCCTTCAGAAGAGGTCCAGGACCTCTTCTGAAGGCCAGCGGGGGGCAAAAGTCTTTGCTCCCCCCTGCCTGCCTTCCCGGGAGAGCGGAGAAAGGCAGCGCGTTTCTCCGCTGTCCCGGAGGGCTTTTGAAGGCAGGCGGGGGGGGGAGCAAAGACTTTCGCCCCCGCCAGCCTTCAGAAGAGGTCCTGGACCTCTTCTGAAGGCTGGCGGGGGCGAAAGTCTTTGTCCCCCCTGCCTGCCTTCCCAGGGGCTTTTAAATCGCCCCGGACAGCGGAGAAGTCCTCCGCTGTCCCGGGCGATTTTAAAATGCCGCCCGCCAGCATTTTAAGATTGCCCCGGACAGCGGAGAAGTCCTCCGCTGTCCCGGGGTTTTTTAAAATGCTGGGGGTGGGAAGAAAAGCCCTTGTCCCCCCCCCCGCAAGGCAAGGGGGAGGGGAAAAATTGAAACTTACACTTTCGTGCGTCCCTCCCGGCGTGACGCTGCGCGCTGACGTCACGGGGCTGTAATGGTGGTGTGCCTCGATATTTTTTTTCATGAAACAAGTGTGCCTTTGCCCAAAAAAGGTTGGGAAACACTGCCTTAAACAGCATCAGAGGCCTGTCACTCTGCATTTTTAGTTAATGGCAATCAGCAAAATTAGTTTAATATTGGCCAGATCTACCTTCCATTCTGACGTGAGCAGCAGCAGACGTTCCCTCATTTAGAGGCTCCGTTTTCTCCTTGCGATCTTACTAGGACTCTCGTACCTACAGGACCGCCTCTCCCGGTATGCCCCGCGGAGGACCTTAAGGTCCATAAATAGCAACACCCTAGTGGTCCCGGGCCCTAAGGAAGTTAGATTAGCTTCAACCAGAGCCAGGGCCTTTTCAATACTGGCTCCCGCCTGGTGGAACGCTCTGCCTCATGAGACCAGGGCCCTGCAGGATCTGATTTCTTTCCACAGGGCCTGTAAGACAGAGTTGTTCCGCCTGGCCTTTGGCTTGGAGCCAATTTGATTCCCTCCCCCCTTTCTTTTTTCTTTTCCTTTCTCCTGCGATGAGGCTACATTTTAATATTTTAATGTTTCAATATTTTAATGTTGTATTTTAATCTTGTTTTTAAGTTGTTTTTATTATTGCTTGTTAGTCGCCCTGAGCCTGGCCTTGGCTGGGGAGGGCGGGGTTAAATAAAAATTATTATTATTATTATTATTATTATTATTATTATTATTATTATTATTATCTTTCTCTCCTTCCTTCAGCAGGAGGTGGGTGGAAGAATGGGAATGAAGTAACACCGTGCGCGGTCTCCTTGGAAAAAGCCAGACGTTCAGAGTGGGAAGAGAAGAAAAGGGAAACTGAGAAGAGGGAAAAACCCTTCCTTGCTTCCGGCGTCTGCAAAATCGCAATGCACGAAAAGACGGACACCGAAAAGAAGCGGATCGTGTGTGCCGTGTGCGGGAAAAGCTTCAGCCGCAAATCGCACCTTAACGAACATCAGAGAATCCACACTGGGGAGAAACCCTACAAATGCGCCGAGTGCGGCAAGAGCTTCCGCCGGAGCACAGACCTCTCTTCTCATCAGAGAACCCACACGGAAGAGCAGCGGTTCAAATGCTCCGAGTGCGGGAAGAGTTTCCGGGGGAGCTCGGACCTCCGGTCTCACAAGCGGATCCACACCGGGGAGAAACCGTACGCCTGCTCTCTGTGCGGGAAGAGCTTCAGCCACAGCATCAGCCTCAACTCTCATCAGAGAATCCACACAGGAGAGCAGCCGTTCAAGTGCTCCGTTTGCGGGAAAAGCTTCACGCGCAACACGGGCCTGACTCTGCACCACAGAATCCACACCGGGGAGAAGCCGTACACTTGCTCCTTGTGCGGCAAGAGCTTCAGCCACAGCAAGAGCCACGCCATCCACCTCAAAGTGCACGCAGGGGAGAAACCCTACACGTGCTCGGAGTGTGGGAAAAGCTTCATCGGGAGCTCGTATCTTAAGTCACATCAGAGAATCCACACAGGAGAGAAGCCCTATACGTGCCCTGTATGTGGGAAAAGCTTCAGGTGGAGTACAAACTTTAACGAACATAAAAGAATCCACAGGGGGAGAATGTGGTGAATCCTAGGAATCCCTGGATTGGATAAAGTACCCCTGGTAAGGCACAGATCTTCATAATGGAGGATTCACTCTAAGGCAGAGCTCTAAGGCAGCCGACACACTTAGCGCAACACAACACACAGTTCGGAAAGCTCTGTTTTGAGGAGCAAGGAAGGCTGTAGACCAGGGGTCAGCAAACGTTTTCAGCAGGGGGCCGGTCCACTGTCCCTCAGACCATGTGGGGGGGCAGACTATATTTTTTTGGGGGGGGTGAATGAATTCCTATGCCCTACAAATAACCCAGAGATGCATTATCAATAAAAGCACACATTCTTCTCGTGTAAAAACACCAGGCAGGACCCACAAATAACCCAGAGAATCCTAAGCTCAAAATGTAACGGAGACAAACCATATCACAAGAGAGAACCAGTGAGTGTGAGAAGGAAACTGTGGTGGAAGGCAACATTGGGAGCGGCCGCTGGGACCATATAACACCGGTCCTAAAATATCTACATTGGCTCCCAGTACATTTCTGAGCACAATTCAAAGTGTTGGTGCTGACCTTTCAAGCTCTAAACGGCCTCGGCCCAGTATACCTGAAGGAGCGTCTCCACCCCCATCATTCAGCCCGGACACTGAGGTCCAGCACCGAGGGTCTTCTGGCGGTTCCCTCCCTGCGAGAAGAGAGGTTACAGGGAACCAGACAGAGGGCCTTCTCGGTAGTGGCGCCCGCCCTGTGGAACGCCCTCCTGACGGATTTCAAGGAAATTAATAACTATCTGACTTTTAGAAGACATCTGAAGGCAGTCCTGTATTGGGAAGATTTCAATATCTGATGTTTTGCTGTGTCAACCCAGGATTTACAGAATGTTGACAGCACATTCTTTGTAAAGAAACCAGAATTTGAGCAGTCTGTACAATCTGTCAACTGAGAGAGAAGTAACCCTGGGCTGTCTGAAGGCAGATGCCGGTGTATATTTTTATTTATTTATTTTGCTGGACTTTCTGACTCTCGGTTCCTGGTGCGCTTCATTTTAACTCTCCACCCCGAGAGTTATCTGTCCCATGCCTGATAGCATCATCTCGCTTGTGGCGTTCCATTGTCTGTGTGTTGTGTTAATAAAGATTTCCCCTCTAACTTGGATTGCAGCCTGTGTGTCTGTTTCGCAGGCATTTGAAAATATTAGCGCTGCGATAGATTTTATTGCGGCTTTCTTTTTTTAAAAAAAGAAACACCACATTTTTATTGCATTTTCATTATACAGAAATGTAAACTGAATAGACGTAAGAGAATACAAGCGTAAAAGCAGCAGAAGGGAAGGCAATATTAAATCTCTAAATTTCCAACTAAGCGTTAGGAAGAACTGCGCCCAACGGTTAGAGCTGTTGACAGTGGAACTCTCCCTCGGGTGGTGGTAGACTCCCCTTCCCTGTCCGGATGCTGTAGCTGAGATTCCGGCATTACACGGGGTTGGACTAGATGACCCCGGTGCCCCTTCCAACTCTACAACTACAGATTCATATAGCATACAGTGGTACGTTGGTTTTTGAACGTAATCCGTTCCGGAAGACCGTTCGACTTCCGAAATGTTTGAAAACCAAGGCGCAAAGGGTGGCCTGCACATCTAACTGAGAAAATGGAAAAACAGCAGAAGCCGTTCAACTTCGGAGGTGCGTTTGAAAATGGAAGCATTTAGAAGAAGAAGAAGAGTTTGGATTTCCTATGCCGCCTTTCACTCCCTTTAAGGAGTCTCAAAGCGGCTAACATTCTCCTTTCCCTTCCTCCCCCACAACAAACACTCTGTGAGGTGAGTGGGGCTGAGAGATTTCAGAGAAGTGTGACTGGCCCAAGGTCACCCAGCAGTTGCATGTGGAGGAGCGGGGGAGCGAACCCGGTTCGCCAGATTACGAGACTACCGCTCTTAACCACTACACCACACCGTATTTTTCTGTCTATAAGATGCCCCCATGTATAAGACTATTTTGGAGGACTCCGATTTAAGAAAATGGGGGGAGATGGTCCCCATGTATAAGACGCCCCCAAATTTTGGACATTATTTTTTAGGAAAAAATCCTAGTCTTATACACGGAAAAATACGGTACTTGTGGGTTTTTAGCGTTTGAAAACCAAAATGTTCAGCTTCTGAGATTTTCGAAAAACTATACAGTGGTACCTCAGGTTAACAACTTAATTCGTTCTGGAGGGCCATTCTTAACCTGAAACTGTTCTTAACCTGAGGTACCACTTTAGCTAATGGGGCTTCCGCGCTACCACCGCATGATTTCTGTTCTCATCCTGAAGCAAAGTTCTTAACCTGAGGTAATATTTCTGGATTAGTGGAATCTGTGACCTGAAGCGTCTGTAACCTGAAGTGTCTGTAACCCGAGGTACCACTGTATAAATAAGATCATAAAATAACAGTATCCTGTCAGTATCCTTCCTGACAATAAGCTAATAATGACAATAATAATAATAATAATAATTCCCAAAAGAATATTAAAAACATGATAAAACATCAACATTAAGAGCTGTTCGACAATGGAACGGTCTCCCTCAGGAAGTGATGGCCTCTCCTTCCTTGGAGGTTTCTAAGCAGAGGTTGGCTGTCCATCTGCCATATATGCTTTGGCTGAGATTCCTGCATTGCAGAGGGTTGGACTGGATGACCCTGCGGTGTCCCAACTCATTCGATTCTATGCAGCTAAGCAGAAACATGAAGAGAAGCAGAAACCCGGAAACAGGTGAGAAACCAGCCAATTTCGTTTCTGTTTGGGGCTACGCCTCTGATTGCTTTAGCCTGCAGCTCTTCCAAACCCCAACCCCACCCCAGCCGCACAGCTCTTTATTCCTCGCCAAAGCCACTCTCCTTGCCAAAAACACCTCCCGTTAGACGTTGCCAAACCTCAGCAGGTCACCTGGGTCACCCACTTGCCTCTTCCTCACCCTCGGGTGCTGGTTCCCTCGCCCGACCTTAGCTTGGGTGTGCATGTACACTCCTGTCGGCCTGATGTCAGATAACTACAAATAAAAGAGGGAGAGAAGAGCAGAGAGGTGATACTCCTCTTTCTCCCTGCTTGTTGATTAATCCTAGAATTGTAGAAGGGACCCTGAGGGTCATTTAGTTCAACCCCAGATAAGAGAAGAGAACAACAACAAGAAAGCCTAGCAATTTTTTAATTATTATTAGAACCAAGCAGAACAGCAACGGAGAAAGTTGTCTTTTACTATGTCGGGCTATTGCTCCATTAAGTTTAGTATTGTCTCCGCTGACTGGCAGCGACTGCCCAGGGTTTCAGGCAGAAAATATCTCTGGAGTTGGTGCTGGGGAATGAACGTGAGAGGCCCCCTGCATTCAAAGTACATTCTCTTCCCTCGAACTGTAGTTTCCCCTCACTTTAAAGGTAAATTCAGACTCCAGTCTTCCTCATTCTAAACACAGACACATAAAACGTAAACGACCCCTGGACAGTTAGGTCCAGTCAAAGGCGTCTATGGGGTTGCGGCGCTCATCTCGCTTTCAGGCCGAGGGAGCCAGTGTTTGTCCACAAACAGCTTTCTGGGTTATGTGGCCAGCAGGACTGAACCACTTCTGGTGCAACGGGACACCATGACGGAAACCAGAGCACACAGAAACGCTGTTTACCTTCCCGCCGGAGTGGTAACTATTTATCTACTTGCACTGGTGTGCTTTCAAACTGCTAGATTGGCAGGAGCTGGGGCAGAGCAACAGGAGCTCACTCCATCACGGGGATTCGAACTGCTGACCTTCTGATTGGCAAGCCCAAGAGGCTCCGTGGTTTAGACCACAGCGCCACTGTTGTAAATAAAAATATGCCCTTTTCCCTTATGGGGTATCCAAGAGCCCATATAGAGTCCTTACATAGGTTCCCTATTGGTAGGAGAAAATAACAGAGGCCAACCAGAGAATATTGAGAAGCAAAGCAGCTAGTAAGTCTGATCTTTATTGATCTGTTGCAACAGGGTGCTCCCCTCACACGCAGGAGAGGAAGAGGACCCCCAAAAATTGCTGTGCAAGGGCTTATAAAGACTTTTGAAATTCCCATCCTCTAGATCAAGACCACCCCCAGAAACATTATGCATACATCACAGAAGGGGTGTAACCTAAGACCACCCCTCAGATACATCCCACCTACATCACAGAAATTTTAATGTTGTTTTTCTCCTGTCACAGTTTATCTCCTGTCTGGCAAGTTACTTGATTGGATTTCCTGGGGAGCCTGGCCATTCTTTTGTAGTGGTAAAATACTTATTTCCTGGGCCAGGTCACAGGCTCACACCTTATTCAAACAGACATATCCTTGAGACAGGATTTGTGAGGAAAGAGACAATGTGGAGGCTTTTCCAGTTTAACCTTGCAGAGAAAGGATTTGGTCAGTTTAGGAATCAAAATGGTTCCAGGTTGGCCTTCCTGTGTTGATCTATGTATGTGCAGTTATGAACATTACCATATAGCTAAGACCATAAAATTCCTATCACACCACCCACATAGGCATCCATGTTGTCTGCTTCTGCTGCACTTTGGACTGGATTTTCCCGCAGTCTGGTGTGCTCTCCAGATAATATGGATTATGACTCCCTTTCCCCACAACACAGGACAACAACTTCTTCAAAACCCTTTGTGCCCTTGCAGCTCCCACGGTCCTCTGGGGAAGCCAAGGCTCCCCATGGCTGCCCTTGCATACCCTCCAACTAAAACAACAACAACAACAACAACAACAACAACAACAACAACAACAACAACAACAACAACAACAACATTTATACCCTGTTCATCTGCCTGGGTTGCCCCAGTCACTCTGGGTGGCTTCTAACATGTCTAAAAGCACAATAAAACATACATTTTTTTTAAAAGCTTTGCCTTCAGATGTCTAGAAGGCATAGGTACAGTTACTTGTCTCCTTGAGACAAGTTTTGACATACGGAATTTCACTTGTTTCGGTGTGTGTGTTTTGGTTTTTTGCTGCAAAATCACTTTGAGATAAAAGAATGGAAAGGGTTTGTTGAATATTGACAGATAAATTGTAAACAGATAAAAACATTAGCAGGATGAGTGTAATAACCTGCAGTTTCCTAAGAGTATATATTTACAGTAGATCATTAAATGAGCAAATTAAATGAACTTGGATATGTGGAAGATATTAAGAAATAAATTTAGGGGACCGCAGAAGGAGGGGGGAGGAAGTCAAATTTTGAAATGTCGAATGGATTGTAAAACTAATGAAATGTATAAATTTGAAAAGTAGCTTTTTAAAATAAAATTACTTTTTTTGGAGAGGAAGCAATTCATAAATGAGAATAAACGGATTGCTGAAAGAGAGGGATCCAGCCTAAGGGTTAAGGGGAAGAGTGTCTGGGTTCCTAGAGAGCCCTGGAAGGAGGCTCTGGAAGGGTCACATCCTGCCCCGCCTCCTAAAGATGCTTTGATTCTTATTATTTGCAGGTCCCCCCCCCCAGATGCTGCACAGATGGTCTCCACCTCCTGCCCTCTCCATCCAGGGATCCGGTGAGTCCAAAGTACATTTTGGGGGGGGGATGCACTGGGGCGTTGATGGAGGAGAAGCCCAAGGCAGAAAAAAAATTGGGAAGCGGGCATTGGAAGCAGAGCCAGAGAGGGCAAGGGAGACAAAAGGCAGGCAGGCTGGAAATGGAAGTGCCTTAGCTGGCTTAGTCGAGCAGAAATCCTGGGGTTGAGTTCCCAACATCTCTGTCTGAAACTCTGGAGGGCAGCTGCCAGCCCGTGTGGGCAATGCCAAGCTGGGTGGATCAGTGGTCTGCCTCCGATTCAGGGCAGGTGGCCAGGCTCCTCCGAATAAAGCATCTTCCTGTGTTCCTATTTAACTGGAGGGCTGTAGTAAACTGCGGTGGTAAACGCTTAAAAAAAATATTTATTGAGAATTTTAAAAGTACATCAATATATGTGCACTAAACACGGTGAGACGTAAATAAAAGAGAGAAAAGAAGAAGAGAAACAGAAGGGAAAACAAAGAGGGGAGAGGGAACCCCCCCCCCAAACTGTATACTTTACAAAGTTATTATTGTACTTTACCAGATCTTAACCTATGACAGTATTTGTAAGAATGGATTCCAAATGTCATTGTATTTGTCTATAGCAAGTCTGTGTTTGTATGCAGGTTGTTCATATGCTGTGAGTTTGTATAAGTCTTCAATCCAATCATAGAAGGGAGCCACATTTTAATTTTTTCCCCAATTCATCAGTATCAGTCTTTTTGCTGTGGTCAGGGCACGGAGATTCCACTCATATTGTCTTTTTGTAAGGTTCCATGTGCTGGGTATGTAATTCAAGAAGGTGTGTCCGCCCTTATATAGACATTTTAAATTGCCCGCCTTGGAGTCCAAGAGCACCCCAGACACATCATACCTACATCACAGAAGGGGTGTAGCTCAAGAGAAAACTGAGTGCGTTGTTTATCTCCTGTCATTGTTTTTCTGCTGTCTGGCAGGTTACCTGTTAATGCTTACTTAATTGGATACCCTGGGGAGCCTGACCAGTCTTTTGTAATGACAAATACCGGTACTTAGTTCCTGAGCCGGGTCACAGGCTCACCCTATTCATAAACAGACATACCCTTAAGACAGGATTTGTGAATGAAAAGACAACGGGGAGGCTTTTCCATTTTCCTTTGACCTTGCAGAGAAAACATTTGGTCAGTCTGGGAGCCAAAATGGCTCCAGGACTGCTTTCCTGTTCTGCTTCAGACATGTGGTTTATATATTTATGTATGTGTTTGCTTGGTACATTTATGAACATTTATTATATATACAGTGGTACCTCGGGTTAAGTACTTAATTTGTTCCGGAGGTCTGTTCTTAACCTAAAGCTGTTCTTAACCTGAAGCACCACTTTAGCTAATGGGGCCTCCTGCTGCTGCCGCATGATTTCTGTTCTCATCCTGAAGCAAAGTTCTTAACCCAAAGTACTATTTCTGGGTTAACAGAGTCTGTAACCTGAAGCGTATGTAACCTGAAGCGTATGTAACCTGAAGCGTATGTAACCTGAAGCGTATGTAACCCGAGGTACCACGGTATAAGACCTTAATTTACGGTATTTATTTCAATCGTTTGCAGGAAGAATCCTCGTTCTCAACGCTGACCAGCTAATGCTTTCTGATTTCTGGGAGTGGGCGGCGGCGTGTGCAACTGTTGTGCTGCAAAAAGTCTGGCCTATCTTTGCCCAATTTGTCCCCCTTTCCCCCAAATCCTTATGGTTATTTGGAAGATGGTGGCTGGTCGATGAGGCTTTTCGAGCCCTGCTGGGGGTCCGAGAAGCGCAGCCAGACGATGGAAGGGAGAGACACGGTTGCCCCCAAAACAGGAAGAACCCCCCAAAATGTCAAGACTGTGAGCAGCAGGGGGATCAGCCCACATGCTGAGTGCCAACGCTTCAGGCGATTCTGCTACCGAGACCCCGAGGGACCCCGAGAGGTTTGCAGCCGACTCCACCATCTCTGCCGTCAGTGGCTGAAGCCTGAGAGACACACCAAGGCTCAGATCCTGGATTTAGTGATCCTGGAGCAGTTCCTGGCTGTCCTCCCCCGGAGATGGAGAACTGGGTGAGGGAATGTGGAGCGGAGACCAGTTCCCAGGCGGTGGCCCTGGCCGAAGGTTTCCTCCTGAGTCAGGCAGAGGACCAGAAGCAGGAGAAGGAGCAGGTGAGAGAGAGTTTTGTCGTGGTGCTTTCAAGGTGCTCAGAGCGTCCAGTTTTAGTAAGGGGCAAAATCAGACACAAAGCAATTAAAAAATAAAAATAAAGACTCCTTGTGCTGTTGTAAACAAAAATCTGCCCTTTTCCCCTTATGGGGTATCCAAGAGCCCATATAGAGTCCTTACATAGGTTCCCTATTGGTAGGAGAAAATAACAGAGGCCAACCAGAGAATCTTGAGAAGCAAAGCAGCTAGTAAGCCTGATCTTTATTGATCTGTTGCAACGGGGTGCTCCCATCACCCACAGGAAAGGAGGAGGAACCCAGAAAAATGGCGCGCAAGGCCTTATATGGACTTTTGAAATTGCCACCCTGTAGATCAAGACCACCCCCAGAAACATCATACCGACATCACAGAAAAAGCGGTCTAAAACAGAAATTTGAATGTTGTTTTTCTCCTGTCGTTGTTTATCTCCTGTCTGGCAGGTTACCTATTAATGGTCACTTGATTGGATTGCCTGGACAGCCTGGACGCTCTTTTGTAATGATAAATACTTAGTTCCCGGGACATGTCTCAGGCTCACACCCTATTCAAACACAGACATACCCTTAAGACAGGATTTGTGAAGGAAAAGACAATGGGGAGGCTTTTCCATTTTCCTTTGACCTTGCAGAGAAAACATTTGGTCAGATTGGGACAGTTTGGGAATCAAAAATTGTTCCAGTTCGATCTTCCTGTGCTGATCTATGTACGTGCTTGGTTGGTACACTTAAGAACATTTAACATATATCTAAGACCTCAAAATTGATAATGTATTGGCAATATTTATGAAACACTCTCAGTTGTTTCTGAATTCATAAACAGCAACAAACAGCAAAAAGTGTAGTAGGCTGATTTTGAGTGAGAGCTGATCCACAATCACTTTACGTACCTCTGGGGACTATTAACCTGCTGATGAAGAAATATCGTTGAAATAGTTCATTATCCCAGAAGAACTGTTCTGTTTGCTGTTTGTTGCTGCTGTGCTCACAGCACCACCCGGCTCCAGTTCATTCTCAACCAAACAATATAGATATAAACTGTGGAAAGGCTTTCTGCCTCTTCAGTGTTTCTTTGTGCTTACCCACCATTCTAAGCATTCCTGTTGATGGAATATTTATTTGACTTCTATCCATTTCTATTAGTTTGTGACTTCTTGCGCGTATTATATGGCTTTTGTTTATGGATCAAGAAACAATTGATAGTTACAGGTAGGTAGCCGTGTTGGTCTGCCGTAGTCGAAACAAAATAAAAAAAATAAAATTCGTGTGCATGCACACGAAAGCTCATACCAATAACAAACTTAGCTGGTCTCTAAGGTGCTTCTTGGACACGGGTGGCGCTGTGTGTTAAACCACAGAGCCTAGGGCTTGCCGTTCAGAAGGTTGGCGGTTCGAATCCCTGCGACGGGGTGAGCTCCTGTTGCTCGGTCCCTGCTCCTGCCAACCTAGCAGCTCGAAAACACACCAGTGCAAGGTACCGCTCCGGCAGGAAGGTAAACGCCGTTTCCGTGCACTGCTCTGGTTCGCCAGAGTGCTGGCCACAGGACCCGGAAGCTGTACACTGGCTCCCTTGGCCAATAAAGCGAGATGAGCGCCACAACCCCAGAGTTGGTCACGACTGGACCTAATGGTCAGGGGTCCCTTTACCTTTACCTTTATGGTGCTACTGGAAGAAACAATTGATAGTGTTTCATAAATATTGCCAATACATTATTAGCCCACATGCTGCCTTTTGTAGATCAGATTGCCCCTCGGAGCTGGCATCATGTGGAGCTGGTCCTCAGTGGTGGTAGCCTCTCCTCCTCGCCCGCTCTCTAGCAACTGCTCCGAGGAGGCTGGCAGCGATGGGCCGCTTGCCGCTTGGGACAAGCGCCCGCTCATTCTCCTCCCTGAGCTTGGAGGCAGCGGCACTGGCGGGGGAATAGGGACATTCCAAGATCGAATCCGGACACGGGATGGATTTCATAATCCTGGGACTGTCCCTGTAAAATCAGGGCACTTGGAGGGTATGAGAAAGCACCTAAGGAGGGGCGTGGCCTGGAGAGAATGTTGGGGAGGGGGCATGACCTGGAGAGAAGGTTGGGAGGGGCGTGGCCTGGGGAGCAGGTTGGGAGGGGCGTGGCCTGGGGAGAAGGTTGGGAAGGGGCGTGGCCTGGAGAGAATGTTGGGGAGGGGGCGTGGCCTGTGGAAGAGTCTCGCTGGGATTCATGCCAGCTCCCTGTCCTGAGATTTCCCCTCACCCTGATCTTACGGGTTTCTCGCTGCTGTTTTACACAAAGGGCCTGTTGGGAGAAGTCGCTGCTGAGTTCCCCAAGACAGAGGAGACATCGCCAGAGGATGCCACGCGGAGGCTGTTGTTCAGGTGGATGGTGCAGGAGGGCGATGGAGGGGCCGCCATGCCAGGTGAGGGCGGGAGCAGATATTTTGCCACTTGGCCTCCCTCTGCTGGCTGGGCTCAAAATCCCCCCAGGGCTGGTTTTATGTTCATTACTACGTGAGGGACACCTTTCTCCAATGTCTCCCCTAAGAAACGTGTTAATGGCTAGGAAAGCACCGAGAAGCAGTGGTGGAGGATTCGAATCCCGCCGCGAAGCCTATCTCCACGGCAGGCTTTGCCACCCTGGGGCTCTCTGGATGTTGTTGGACAACTCCCATCATCTGTGTTGCTGTAAGGAGTGGATTCATAAAAGCCAACCCTTGGGGCCGAGATCCCTTTCCCCACCCCCATCCCCAAAAAAATATTTGAGGGGGCTGGGCCCCCCCCTCAAGTTGCCAGGCATTGCTGTTCAAATGGTGTGTGATCTCCACTTCTTGTGATCAGTTATGGGGGTCAGAGCTTACCTGCCCCCCTCCCCCATATTTTATTAAATTTGGCACCCCTGAGTGGAATTTGCATGCTTCATCCTAGTGGAAACTTAAAAAGCAGTTGCACTGTAAATCTGCTTCCACAGCCAGTGGCGTAGCTAGCTGCTTGGGTGCCTGGTGCAGCGTCTTGCAGCCGGGGTGAGGAGAGCTGCCCATGGGGGTAGGGCAAGCCAAGGCAGGGCATGCTGCGTGGAGCCTCTCTGCAGCCTCCCCCTCAGCTGTAGGGCGGCTGAGGCGGTGGGCAGACTCAAGCCCCACGCTGCTCGAAAAAGCAGCACGGAGCTTGCAGGCAGTCTGCCCACTGCCACCCCCTCAGGAGAGACGCGTGGCTCAGGCACGCTGCAGGCCCCGCAGTGTGGCACCCAGTACTGCCTGCCTCACCTAGCTACCAGTGGCATAGGAAGTGGGGTCGTGAGCCCAATTTTTATTTATTTATTTTAAAACACATATTTTTGCCATTTTGTCACCCACCTCAGTGATGACACCTGGGCCGGCCTGCACTCAACGCACCCCCCCCTTCCTTTGTCACTGTCCACAGCAGTGTAATGTGTCAAAACCGAATTGTGCCCAAGAAACAAAAAGTGTCAGCCAGCTAGCCCTGGGGATTATCTAATGCTTATTTCCCCTAAATTGATTTTTGAATTTATTGTTATTCATGTTTTTATACTGTATTTTATGCTGCTTTTTATAATTAAGTGTTTTAAATTTGTTGGTAGCCACCCTGAGCCTGGTTTTTGAACCAGGGCGGGGTATAAATTATTATTATTATTATTATTATTATTATTATTATTATTATTATTATTGTTTTGCAAGTTGACGAGATGCATAAACTCTTAGCAAGGATTTCAACCACATTTGTGTGAATTGCAGGTGGCGGAAAGTCGCTGGGAATGGCTACAGAATCGTCTCCTCTCTGTGGTGGATCAGAAGCAGCCTCTTTGCAGCTGGATCCGGTAAAGGACGGATCGTTGGACAGATCAGATCGACTGGCTCCATCCCCTCCCCTGCAGGCTGAAGAGAATCTGCCTCTTTCCCTTTGCTTGTGTCAAAGCTCCACATGGGGGAAATCCTCTGTAGGCCCCTCCGTGGAGGCGGGATGACAGAATCATAGAGTTGGAAGAGACCGTCTAGTCCAACCCCTTGAGGAGGAGCTGTTTTTTATCGTCTCCTTTCCCTTCCAGGTTCCGGTGACGTTTGAGGAGGTGGCTGTGTATTTCACGGAGGAGGAGTGGGCCTTGTTGGATCCGGGCCAAAGAGCCCTGCAATGGGAAGTCATGGTGGAGAATTATGGGAATCTGGCCTCTCTGGGTAAGGCTCCTTCTTTCCCTTCGGTTGATAAAGTCAATTTCGAAAGCCTTGATAGATAGATAGCATCCTTGGACTCAAGCCTAGGTCCTTTGTGAACCTGCCAAGAGAAATCCCATCGCGGAGCACTTTTGTGTATGGAACGGATGGAGAATCTGAAGCTCGGGGGCCAAATCTGGTCCTCCAAGCCTCTCTATCTGGCCCCCTCTTTCTCTAGGCCACAAGGCCTTCTCATGGACCCACAAAACACCTGAGCCCTCCCCTTCCCTCGCTGCCCCTCGCTTGGTCCTTAGGTGCTAAAAGCAGGTCCCCTTTTCTTTTTTGAAAAGTACATTCAACTGGAAGAGGAAGTCAGAAGTAGGACGCTCTGCCCCACTTCCTTTCGGAGCTCTATGTGCTTTTCGAGGCTCAGGTCAATTTCATTGGATCCGAGTTTTACTACATCATTTGGGAAGGTGAAGCATGTGTGCCCACACTTTCTTGGTTTCTCCCTCTCCTGGGGGAGGTGGGAGAAAAGTGGCCGGAGGGATTGGAGCCCAGAGCACTCGTTCAGAAATCCAAATGGGCCTCAAAAGATTGGCAGATAATTGGGTTTGGCTCCTAGTTTGATGATCCATTTCTCCATCAGGAGAAATGTACTTTTTAGTATGTTTCTAAGCACAATTCAAAGGGTTGGTGCTAACCTTTAAAGCCCTAAATGGCCAGTATACCTGAAGGAGAGTCTCCACCCACATTGTTCTACCCGGACACTGAGGTCCAGCACCGAGGGCGTTCTGGCGGTTCCCTCACTGCGAGAGGCCAAGTTACAGGGAACCAGGCAGAGGGCCTTCTCGGTGGTGGCGCCCGCCCTGTGGAACACCCTCCCACCAGATGTTGAAGAGAAAAACAACTATCTGACTTTTAGAAGACATCTGAAGGCACCCCTGTTTAGAGAAGTTTTTAATGTTTGATGTTTTAATTGTATTTTTAATATTCTGTTGGGAGCCGCCCAGAGGTGCTGGGGAAATTCAGCCAGATAGGCAGGGTATAAATAAAAATTATTATTATTACCTTACCAGTGTTCTCCCTCTAATCCAGCAGATGACGCCTGGGTGAGCCGTAACGAGGGAAAGCCTCATGGAGCATCCTTTAAAAGGGCCCGATGTACAGAGGGGGAGGTACATAGAAGGACAACGGAGAGCAAAGCAAAAGAGATAAGGAGGAACAAATCTTCTGCTTTTGAAGGGATGTTTTCCCCTGAAATAACAATTCAAGGGGAAATGAGCCATGTGAAAACGTCATTTCCGGAACCCGACTTTGACGAGGCAGAAACCCAAGAGGAAAGAAGTGAAGGCAAGAAAAAGATTGAGTGTGAGGTGTGTGGGAAAAGCATTAGTAAATCGCACCTTAACGAACACAAACGAACCCACACAGGGGAGAAACCGTTTCAATGCTCGGAGTGCGGGAAGAGCTTCAGTCGGCGGGAACACCTTACTTCTCATCGGAGAACCCACACAGAGGAGAAGCCTTACACGTGCTTGCAGTGTGGGAAAAATTTCAAACACAGGAAAAACATGACATCCCATCAAATTATACACAGTAGGGGGCTAACTTGCAACTCCTCGGAGTGTGGAAATTGCCTCAGTCCCAGCCTTACTTTGCAGCACCACGCTGTGGAGAAACCATTTAGATGTTCAGAGTGTGGCAAGAGCTTCAGTCGGAGCACAGACCTGAGGTCACATCAGAGAATCCACACAGGGGAGAAACCGTACTCATGTTCACTGTGTGGAAAGAGCTTCACCCACAGCCGGAGCCTGAGCTCCCATAAAGTCACGCACACAGAGGAAAGACCGTTTGAGTGCTCGGAGTGTGGCAAGAGCTTCAGTCGGAACACCAGCCTTACTATTCATCAGAGAATCCACACAGGGGAGAAACCGTATACCTGTTCCCTGTGCGGGAAGAGTTTCAGTCACCGAAGAAGCCATGCTATTCACCTAAAAGTGCATGCAGGGGAGAAACCTTTTACATGCTCAGACTGTGGGAAAAGCTTCATCGGGATTTCGTACCTCAAAACACATCAGAGAATCCACACTGGGGAGAAGCCGTATACATGCCCCGTGTGTGGGAAGAGCTTCCGGTGGAGCACACACTTCAAAGAGCACAAAAAAATCCACGTGGAGGAGACTCTGGTGAATCCTAGAAATGCCTGGATTGTGGAGAAAACTCCCAAGAGAGCACAGATGGTCGTGTCAGGGGATTCACTCCCAGGAGAAAGGAGATATACATAGACTAGTGCTTTTCTGCCCAACTAAACTATACTGTCTGACAGATAATTCACAACAGGAGAAAGGGTGGGAGTGAGAAAATAGATGCTCAAACTGTGGCTGAAACTCCATCACCACGCAAGCTATAGAGAGAACGTGAGCAAGAAATATAAGATACAGTGGTACCTAGGTTGTCGAACGCTTCGGAAGCCAAACGTTTCGGTTTTCAAATGCCGAAAACACAAAAGTGAATGCTTCCGTTTTTGAACATGCCTCGGAAGTCGAACGGCTTTCGAGGTGCATTTGTCCGTTTTCTCAATGGAATTAGCCGACTGCCCATTGCGCCTCGGTTGTTGAACGTTTTGGAAGTCGAACGGTCTTCTGGAATGGATTACGTTCGACAGCCGAGATACCACTGTATATTGTAAGATAATACCTTACAAATAGGTCTGGTCGATACCCGGTTTTCAACACTGCGATAGATCACTGGCTAAACATTGCGATATACTGCTATATCACAATGTCTGAAATAAATGTGGGGCTCGGTAGATGCATCGGCTGGCTTCACGGTTTTATCCACGTTGTGATTTTTGTATAGCGTACAAACACACATCATGATTCGCGATATACAGGTGAAACTCAAAAAATTAGAATATTGTGGAAAAGTTCATTTATTTCAGTAATTCAACTTAAAAGGTGAAACTAATATACGAGATAGACTCATGACATGCAAAGCAAGATATGCCAAGCCTTTATTTGTTATAATTGTGATGTTTATGGCGTACAGCTGATGAAAACCCCAAATTAACAATCTCAGAAAATTAGAATATTAAATGAAATCAGCAAAACAAGGACTGCAAATAGAGCAATATTGGACCTCTGAGAAGTAGAAGCATGCACACGTACTCAGTACTTGGTTTGGGCCCCTTTTGCATCAATTACTGCCTCAATGCGGCGTGGCATGGATGCTATCAGCCTGTGGCACTGCTGAGGTGTTATGGAAGACCAGGAAGCTTCAATAGCAGCCTTCAGCTCTTTTGCATTGCTCAGTCTCATGTCTCTCATCTTTCTCTTGGCAATGCCCCGTAGATTCTCTATGGGGTTCGGGTCAGGCGGGTTTGCTGGTCAATCAAACACAGTAATCCCATGTCCATTGAACCAGGTTTTGGTACTTTTGGCAGTGTGGGCAGGTGACAAAGTCCTACTGGAAAATGAAATCAGCATCCCCATAAAGCTCGTCTGCGGAAGGAAGCATGAAGTGCTCCAAAATCTCCTGGTAGATGGCTACGTTGACCCTGGACTTAATGAAGCACAGTGGACCAACACCAGCTGATGACATGGCTCCCCAAATCTCTTTTCTGATGAGAGCAGCTTTTGCATCTCATTTGGAAACCAAGGACCCAGAGTCTGGAGGAAGAATGGGGAGGCGCACAATGCCAGATGCTTGAAGTCCAGTGTGAAGTTTCCACAGTCTGTGTTGATTTGGGGAGCCATGTCATCAGCTGGTGTTGGTCCACTGCGCTTCATTAAGTCCAGGGTCAACTCAAGGGGACTCTATACGTCTTCTCTGTCACGCTGATTTGTGCTGGATGTTTATGATGTACTTTCATTCTTTTTTCCCTTCCCCTTTAGCTTGGCAGACGTGTACCGTTTTTTTAAAAAAAGAAACCCTGGGTTGTCTGTCCGCTCTGATTCTTTTGTGTCCTTCATTTAAGTGGGTAATATTAAGTGTTGTGTTGTGCCTCTGTCTCCTTCCTGTTGTTTGCAGTGTTCTGTTAGTTTTGTTGGTTATATCAATAAAGCCATTTTAAATAGATTTCATGTCGTCATTGTCATCGCTGGTGACCCAAATGAATAACATTATTCTTATTCTTATATTCTGTTTTTTCTTGGATTGGAACTCATGGTGGCGGCCTACACACATTAAACAGCACAGATAAAATACAGAACGTTCAAAGCATATACCATAGTTTAAAAGGAATTAAACTTCAATAGAATTGAAACAATATAAAAATTCCACGCATGACCATGCAGGAATGCTGGAGCTGGGAGTCCAGCCATATATTTGAAGGACTGAGAAGTTTTGTACTAAAAGCAGAGGAAGGATCTGGCCCTTATTCATACAACCATAGAATAGTCTTCTTTTGCGATCACTCGTAGCCGAGTAAGATTGTCTTCCATGAACACAATCCTAACAGTGTATCTGTAAGTGACTGTGGAGGCCAATTCTGGATCCACACGTCCTTCCACAGGTTTCCGGGCAGAAATTGATCCCAGTGAGGGTTTGCCAAGTGTGCCTTCCTTTCGTCCTGAGTTCGAGCTTCTTCAAAGCTCATGACACCTTTGGTAAAGGCTGTTCTCCAGTTGGAGCGCTCGCAGGCCAGTGTTTCCCAGTTGCCAGTGTTTATACTACATTTTTTTAGATTTGCCTTGAGAGAGTCTTTACACCTCTTTTGTTGACCACCAGCATTACACTTTCCATTTTTAAGTTTGGAATAGAGTAGTTGCTTTGGAAGATGATAATCAGACATCTGTGCAACATGACCAGTTCAACAAAGTTGACGTTGAAGAATCATTGCTTCGACATGGGTGCACTGACATTATTTCGCCTGTCTTCCCAAGTGGTATGTAAAAAAATTTGGAAACACAGTTGATGAAATCTTTCAAGGAGCTGGAGATTGTAAGTGGTCCATGTTTCACAAGTGTACAGTAAGGTTGGTAGTACAATAGTAAACAAGCATTTCGGTTTCCCTGCAAATGTCCCGGTCCTCAAACCCTCTGCACTTTAATCAGTAGAAGGCTGCAGTTGCAGAGCTAGAGTTGGACGGGATCCCTGAGGGTCATCCAGTCCAACCCCCTGCAATGAACGAATCTTAGCTAAAGCATCCCTGACAGGTGGCCACCTGACCTGAGCTTAAAAACCTTCAAGGAAGGAGAGTCATTCGCTCCTCTTTCAGTGAACCAGAAAGAAAGCAAGAAAGAAAAGAGCGCAACTTCATCGCTCTTGCAACCAAAGGGTTACAGCGAGTGAGCCCCGGTTTCTAGAGGGGCTTCCCGGAAGGGGCGCGCCGGCGAGGGGAACGTCCACTTCCGGTGCCCCTCCTCTCCCCCTCCCGTGGGAAAGCGGACTTTGATTTTCCCACGCGGCGGCCTCCGGAGGGTCCGGCTGGAGTGCGGAGCGCCTTGCGGGTGCGCGGCCGAGCAGGGGCCGCCCTGGGCGGGAGGCGCAAGGAAAGGAAGCGAGGCTGGAGCCCCGGCTCGGAGGTGCCCAGTCAGCGGAGAGAACAAAAGGCAGGGGAGGCCCCTGGATTTTGGGGTGCGGTTGCTGACTAGCGCCCTAATGCACCTCTTGCTTTGCAGGAATGTTCACATGCTGCGCTCAACGATTTTGCAGTTTTGTGCACCCAGGTATGCAAAAGGCTCGTCCGCACGTTACGCTGAACGCGGGTCCAGGCTGCGCACGTGAGCAAGCGTTTGTGTGAACGACCGTACCCGTGTCGAATTGGCCCTCATTGCGGTTGCAAGCACGGATGATGTGCTTGTTGAACGCAGTGGGATGTTGCGTCTCCGTAGATGTGTTGCCCGTCTCTGCAAACCTCTCTGGGTCTCTTAGTCTCCTGGTAGCAGAAATGCTGGAGAGCTTCACAAATCGACAAGTGTAACGTGTGAATGCACTTCTCTTTGCTAATCCAGGAAAAGGAGGCAGCGTATTCCTGGGGATAGAGTTTGGGACTATTGTTCCATTTGAATGTGGATGCAAGGCTAGAGCCTGGGAGAGAACCTGTAAACAAGTTATACTAGATATAATTCTGCTAGATATAAGAGCTGTTCCAACAGTGGAACAGTCTCCCTCGGGAGGTTGTGGACTCTCCTTCCTTGATGGTTTGTAAGCAGAGGTTGGATGGCCCTCTGTCCTGGATGCTTTAGCTGAGATCCCTGCATTGCAGGGGGTTAGACTAGATGACCGTGGGGTCCCTTCCAATTCTATGGTTGTATGATTAGGAAAATCTAGAAGCAGCGAAGCCTGATTTAATTAGCAGCTATGTAAGGGGCACAGATAAAAGAAAAACAAAACCGCAAAGAACTTTACAAATGGAGTGTCTTAACCTGCTCTGTAAAAAGAAAATCAGGAATAGCTGGAGTTAGAGAGGATCATTTGCTTTTGTAATGTGTGGAAGCAGCTGCGTATGGAGAGTGTTGAAAAGTATAGCTCTGTGGGGGTGAGCCATTTTTGAATATATATCTATAATCAAAAGGTACAGTAAAGATGTTTATTTTTGTATATCTGATATGTTTTTTTATGGTCAGGAAAAGTATTTTTTTCTATTAAAAAACCCTGTTAAAATCTGAAAACCACAATTAAACACACAAATTGTTAGGGATGGGGCACTGCTAGAGTTGCTGTGTTTGACATTGTACATAGCTGTGAATGAGAGAAAAAGTTTTTATCTGTGCCCCTTACGTGGAGGAAGAGTTCCTGCTTCCCTTCCCCACACTAACACATATATTGTGTCCCTCTGAATTTTGGTGTTTTACTTGTCTGTTTTTGCAGAAGAAGAAACCCGAGTTGCTAGCTGCAATTCCCTTTTGCTGAAACTACCTTCCCATCGGGTGGTCTCAGACGGACCTTGCTCACCTTTGCTGGACTTGAACCCTAATCTGAAAATTCATACAGAGAGAAAGTGACAACAGAGCAAGAAAGACCATTCTGTTCTCGCTGGGTGCTGTGCTAGATCGCGGATGGAAGAACAGGACTCTGCCAGCCCTGATCCGGAATTAAATTGCCTTGCCACCCAGTCTGAGACCAGAGGGGAATTCTGGGAAAGGAGCCTGCAGAAGATGCCGGACCAAAAAGCCCTTTCTTTGGATGTACGTTGCTGGAGGTTCAGGCATTTCTGCTACCAGGAGGCTGAGGGACCAAGAGAGGTTTGCCACCGACTCCGCCACCTTTGCCATCAGTGGCTGAAGCCGGAGAGGCACAACAAGACCCAGATTTTGGACCTGGTGATCCTGGAGCAGTTCCTGGCTGTCCTGCCTTCGGAGATGGAGAACTGGGTCAGAGATTGTAGGCCGGAGACCAGTGCTGAGGCAGTGGCCCTGGCGGAAGGTTTTCTCCAGGGCCAGGCAGAGGACAACAGGCAGGGAGAGGAAGAGGTAAGAGGGTATCATCCTGGAGGTTCCTAAGGGTTGAGTCCTGTTCTTCCATTCACAAGTGGTGAAAACTTAGCTAGGACCAACAGGCCTCCCCATTTAGCCTCCTGAGGCCTCGGTCCAGTATACCTGAAGGAGCGTCTCCACCCCCACCAGTCAGCCCAGACACTGAGGTCCACCACCAAGGGCCTTCTGGCAGTTCCCTCCCTGCGAGAAGCCAAGCTACAGGGAACCAGGCAGAGGGCCTTCGTGGTGGTGGCTCCTGCCCTGTGGAATGCCCTCCCATCAGATGTCAAGGAAATAAACAACTATCTGGTTTTTAGAAGACATCTGAAGGCAGCCCTGTTTAGGGAAGTTTTTAATGTTTGATGTTCTGTTGTGCTTTTAATTCTGTTGGGAGCCGCCCAGAGTGGCTGGGGAAACCCAGCCACATGGGCGGGATATAAATAAATTCTTCTTCTTCTTCTTGGCACCCACCTTCTCAACACCTGATGCAGGTAAGAGGCGGGTGGACCAAAGAGACCAGCACACACCCTCACAATCAGCTGGTGGATGGCACAGACAGAGATGGGTTATGTGACATCAGGTGATTGACAAGTGGGTGGCTCCGCCCATCTGTCAAACGCAGTGCTGAATCCAGACCCCCATTCTTGTCCTCTTGCTGCATTCCTTCCAGATGCAAGTCCGTCCTCTTTTGAGGGAAGTCACCCGCACAAGACTTTCCCAGCCTCCTTGGGGGAGAATGTGTTGGCAGTGGCATCTGGGGGGAGTTTTTCTTGCTGTCTAGGGCCGGTGTTGCATTCCAGCTCCCATCAGCCCCTGCCGTCATGACAAATAAGGAGGCAGAGGGGGAGTTGGCACCCAGAACCTCTGGAGGGCAAACAAGCTCTGGAAAGCTGTATTATTATTATCATTATCATTATCACTAATATTATTTAATTAAATTTGTACACCATCCTTTATCTGAAGAGCACAAGGTGGCTCACAACATAAAACAAAATGAAAGCATGAAATACATAATAAAACAAAAGCAAGGGGAGTTACATGTGTAAGAGGCTCGTTTAGAATTATATTTTGAGAATGATTCCTGTTCTTATGTAGCTGCATTTTTCTATACTTTCCAAATATCCCATCATCAAAAGTATTTGTGCTCCGTGTTGTAAAAGAAGCACTGCTAGGACTTGTTTCTCTTTGCTTTCCTGTGTATTTCCCATCAATAAGACAATCGGTGTGGTGCAAGCAAATTTTTATTCTGAACGTGTGGCCTGGAGAGAAAGAAGTTTGAGAACCACTAATGGAAAATGAATGTCAAATGTTGGGGGTGATCACTTCCATCTTTTGGTGAAAGATGTTTCTGCTCCTTAAAAAAATAAAAGATGCCCATCACTTTCCCAAGATACTCTCTCAGTATCCTTAAATGCTGTGGAAATCACAGCTGGAGAGACTGTTGTGCTTGGACCCTGCTTTGGACTTATCGGGAATAATAATAATAATAATAATAATAATAATAATAATAATTTTGTTATTTATACCCTGCCCATCTGGCTGGGTTTCCCAAGACACTCTGGGCGGCTTTCAACAGGATATTAAAAACACAGTAAAAGGTCAAACATCAAAAAGTTCCTTATACATTGGGTTGGCCACTGAGAGGCTTGGGCCTGATCTGGAAGTCAGACTTTTCTTACATTCTTGCCTGCTGGCATTTCAGGTGTCAGGGCGACTCCTGGAGGCAGCCGTGACTTTCCCCAGGAAAGAGGTGCCTTCGTTCCGAAATTCCCAGCGGCAGCTTGATGGGGAATTTTATCCAGAGAAGAAAGAGGGAACCAGTCTGATGGGTAAGGTTTTTCCTGAACTCTTTGGGTTTGTATTATTTTGCTGAGCTTTTATCTTTTATCGTCAACTGGCTGCTACACATAGGATCTTTTGCATGCAAAGCAGACTCTCTACCCCTGAGCTTCCTTTAAAGGTCCTAGTCCTCATTGTTCTATGTGACAAAATGCTCAAACAAGAGCCTAGGAAGCTTACCAGGTGGTCCATTTTTCTCAGTACTGAAAAAAGTGGCAGTATCTCTCCAAGGTTTCAGGCATGGGTCTGCCTCAAGTCTACCTAGAGATGATTTACAAGGTGAATTACAAGATCTAATCCGTCTGCAAGAGATCCCCTTCTGAACAGCGTCCGCCAGTGATAAATTGGTGTAAACAAAATAAATAAAAGTGGTAGCAACTTCCTGTTTTGAGCTAGCCTCTCCCAGTCTCTACTGAATCTCAGTTCTGTCAAATTTGCTAATTGATTCCAGCTTAATGGCTTTGAGAACTTTTTTGGGGGGGGGGGTTGCAGCATGACTTTAAGAGTGTGCGTGTGCGTGTGTATAATTTTTTATCTGTTTTACAATTTAAAATACTTATTTAAACATCCTTATAATATGAGTGACTTCCCTTCTTCTCTTTCCATGGTTCATTTTGCATATCATAAATCCCTGCATATTTTACAAAAACTAAACCATTCACTATTCCATTATTGCATCCATCAAAACTTATTTACACTGTCAAATTTATCTTAATGCTGCCGATGTTTTCAGGTGTACACAATTCCCCCCCCCATATATTCAATATATAAGAACGTTCTTCTAGTTCTCTTATTCTATATATTAAGTCTGCAAGCTGCACATATTCCATCAGCTTAAGTTGCCATTCATCTTTAGTTGGGACCTTGCTCATTTTCGATTTTTGGGCAAACAAAACATGGACCACAGTAGTAGCATACATAAATAACTTTTTAACTTAGAGTTAAATACCATCTGTAAATCATTTTCAAGTAGTTCTCCTTCAAAGAATAACATAATTTTATTATTATATGCCCCCCATCTGACTGTGTTGCCCCAGACTGTTGGCTTCCAGCAAAATATAAAAACACAGAAATCCTCAATCTTTAAAAACTTCCCTGTACAGGGCGGCCTTCTGATGTCTTCTAAAAGTCAAATACTTGTTTGACATCTGATAGGAGGATGCTTCACAGGGAGAATGCCCCGTGGAATGTCCTCCAGTCAGATATCAAGGAAATGAACAACTATCTGAAAGCAGCCCTGTATAGGGAAGTTTTTAATCTTTGATTTGAGAAATTATAAAATCTGCTGGGGTTTTATAATTTCACGGAAGCTGCCCAGTGTGGCTGGGGAAACCCAGTCACATGGGCAGCATTGAAATAATTTTTTACTACTATTATTACTGGGATGCGGGTGGCGCTGTGGGTTAAACCACAGAGCCTAGGACTTGCCGATCAGAAGGTCGGCGGTTCGAATCCCCGCGACAGGGTGAGCTCCCATTGTTCAGTCCCTGCTCCTGCCAACCTAGCAGTTCGAAAGCACGTCAAAGTGCAAGTAGATAAATAGGTACCGCTCCGGCGGGAAGGTAAATGGCATTTCCGTGCGCTGCTCTGGTTCGCCAGAAGCGGCTTAGTCTTGCTGGCCACATGACCCGGAAGCTGTACGCCGGCTCCCTCGGCCAATAAAGCGAGATGAGCGCCGCAACCCCAGAGTCAGTCACGACTGGACCTAATGGTCAGGGGTCACTTTACCCTTTACCTTACCACTATTACTACTACTGCTACTATTACTGAGGAGTCCCTCTGCCTGGTTCCCTGTAGCTTCCCTTCTCACAATGAGGGAACCGCCAGAAGACCCTCGGAGCTGGAGCTTAGTGTCCACGTTGAATGACGGGGATGGAGACGCCCATTCAGGTATACTGGGCCGAGACCATTTAGAGCAGTGTTTTTCAACCACTGTTCCGCGGCACACTAGTGTGCTGCCAGATGTTGCCTGGTGTGCCGTGGGAAAAATTGAAAAATCCGAAAGATTTTTTTTTTTAAAAAAAAGTCAAATTTTCGCCCACTAGGCGGGCGCCGGACTGTGTCCACCCTATTTTCCATCCGTCCTGGGTGGGGATCAGATCGGATGGGATGGGATGAGAGCGGACAGGCGGTCCGCTCTCATCTGATTCCCCATAGAGAGCAGCGGGGCTCTGACATCTCCCTCTCCGCACACAGTGGTGGTGTGCCTCGTGATTTTTTTCATGAAACAAGTGTGCCTTTGCCCCAAAAAGGTTGAAAAACACTGATTTAGAGGTCAGCACCAACACTTTGAATTGTGCTTGGAAACATACTGGGAGCCAATGTTAATCACCCTGAGAACAGGATGCCGGACTAGATGGGCCTTTGGCCTGATCCCAGATTATTCTTATGTCCTTCTGGTTGGAGAAAGAGCCATTACAGCGGTACCTTGGGTTAAGAACTTGATTCGTTCCGGAGGTCCGTTCTTAACCTGAAACTGTTCTTAACCTGAAGCACCGCTTTAGCTAATGGCGCCTCCTGCTGCCGCCACACGATTTCTGTTCTCATCCTGATGTAAAGTTCTTAACCCGAGGTACTACTTCCGGGTTAGCGGAGTCTGTAACCTGAAGTGTTTGTAACCTGAAGTGTCTGTAACCCGAGGTACCACTGTAGTTAGATTTGAACCAATTTTCAGACATTCACTGCAGCAGTGCATTTTCGTTCCTTGACCTGAGGGTTCCATCACTCACTTAAATTCACTTTTCCTTCCCTTATTTATCGCAGGTAACAATAGGCAGGAGAGCGAGGATGAGGCGGAACCTTGGGAAGTATCAGCAAAAAGAGACGAGCGTCTGGAGATGACCGAGAAAGCTGAAGCTCAAAATTCCCCGGTGATGGAGGAGGGAAACGCAGTGGAGAATTGGTGGGGTGATCATGATGGGGATTCCTCTATGATCCCAGTTCAAAATGAGAAAAACCGTGGGAAGAGAGAGTATAAGTGCCCTAAATGTGAGATCACCTTCAGTAGTGAATTAAACCTGGAGGGACACCGGCGAACTCACACCGGGGAGAAGCCATATACGTGTCTGGAGTGCGGCAAGAGCTTCAACTGGAGCACGAATCTGATTAGACATCAGATAATACACAGAGGGGAGAAACCTTACAAATGCACAGAGTGTCGGAAGACCTTCAACTGGAGCACGCACCTTATAAGACATCAGAGAATCCACACCGGGGAGAAGCCGTACATATGCCTGGAGTGCGGGAAGAGCTTCAGTTCAAGCACCAGCCTCGCGTACCACCAGAAAACCCACACGGGGGAGAAGCCGTACAAGTGCTCAGACTGCAGCATGAGCTTCTGCGTCAAGTCCAGCCTTATGAGACATCAGAGAATCCACACGGGGGAGAAGCCGTACGGTTGCTCCGACTGCGGGATGAACTTCACGGCCAAGTCGGACCTCACTCTGCACCAGAGAGTCCACACGGGGGAGAAGCCGTACAGATGCTCCGAGTGCGGGAAGAAATTTGGCCGGAGGATAAACCTCACTTCCCATCAGAGAACTCACACGGGGGAGAGACCGTACAAATGCTCAGATTGCGGGAAAAGCTTTCGCAACACGTCGCACCTCCTTCGGCACAGGCGGATCCACACGGGAGAGAAGCCTTATAAGTGCCTGGCATGCGGGAAGCAGTTTGGTCGGTGCGAGCAACTCGCTTCCCATCAAAGAACTCACATTGGGGAGAATCCCTGAAAGCGCATGGAAAACGTTTCAGTCAATATGCTGCCCTCACTCCACATCAGAGAAGTGCGCTCACATAAAACAGTATAAATAGACTCGAGGAGGAGGAGCTGTGGGGGGCTTACTTCTTTGAGTATTATTATTTATTGAATTTATATACCACCCTATACCCGGAGGTCCTAGAATGGTTCACATAAAAGATCACAATATATAAAATCAAAGTAAAACCAAGCACGCGCACACACACACTGCAAAAAAGACCCGCATTTTAAAAGGGTACAGGATGTCGATCAGGTCAGCCAAAGGCCTGGTTAAAAAGGAACGTTTTTGCCTGGCACCTAAAGGTGTATAATGAAGGCGCCAGGTGAATTTTCCTGGGGAGAGCATTCCACAGACAGGGTGCCACTGCAGAGAGGGCCCTTTTTTTGTGTTGCCACCCTCTGGACCTCTCGAGGTGGTGGCACACGAAGGAAGGCCTCAGAAGGTGATCTCAGGGTCCGGTTAGGTTCATAGGGAAAGGGGCAGTCCTTGAGGTATTGCGGTCCTGAGCCGTTTAAGGCTTTATAGGTCAAAACCAGCACTTTGAATTGGGTCCAGAAACTAATTGCTAGCCAGTGCAGTCAGACCAGGATCAATGTAATACGCTCAAAGTGTCTTGCTCCAGTGAGCAACCTGGCCACTGAATTCTGCACAAGCTGAAGTTTTCAGAGGCAGCCCTACGTATAACGCATTGCAGTAATCTAACCCTGAGGTTGCCAGAGCATAGACAACAGTAGTTTGGCTATCCCTGTCCAGATAGGGGCGTAGCTGGGCCACCAGCCAAAGGTGATGGAAGACACTCCAGGCCATCTCGTCTAGGGAACCACACACCAACAGAGCCTCAGTCTTAACTGGATTGAATAGGTGTGGTTAGGATTGTGACGCAACCAACAGGGCCGTCAGAGTCTTAGCAAAACGGACCGGATGTCCCTTGATGGGACCAGCCTTTGGAATGTGACCCCCTTTAGATTTTTTTTTGGAGGAAGGACAAGATACGAGGTGGGTGTTTTTGCAAAATCACCAGGGGCTGAAAGCACTTAGCTGGAGTTGGTCAAAACAGCGTAGGATTCGGGAATCTGACGCAGGATTTGTGGCTCTTCTCCCTGTTTTCAGAAGCCACCTTGTTTCCAGTATGGTCTCCTTGTATTTCTGTAAATAAACAATGTCTAGAGCAGGGGTCAGCAAACTTTTTCAGCAGGGGGCCGGTCCACTGTCCCTCAAACCTTGTGGGGGCTGGACTATATTTTGAAAAAATAAATAATGAACGAATTCCTATGCCCCACAGATAACCCAGAGGTGTATTTTAAATAAAAGCACACATTCTGCTCCCTTAAAAACACCAGGCAGGCCCCACAAATAACCCGGAGGTGCATTTTAAATAAAAGGACACATTCTACTCATGTAAAAACACGCTCGTAACCCACAGCGTGCATAACCAGAAGGGTTCGTAACCAGAGGTACCACTGTACTGGAGTAAATCTAGCAGCCAGGCTGAATTTTTGCCCTTCTCCCACAAACAGTGATTCTTCTTTTAGATAATAGTTACTGGGTTTTGTTCATCATGAACTGCTTTTTATTTTATTTTACGGTGTTTCCACTTCTTTTCTCACATTGCACAGTGATTTATTTATTTATTTATTAAATGTAGATAAATGTGGTAACTTCTCAATGCATAAATAAAAATCTCCAAAAGTCCGAATGTCACCTTAAGTTATAAGAGGAAGGGGCGTGGCTCAGCAGCAAAACACCTGCATTGCATGCAAAGGGTTCTGGGTTCAATCCTGGAATCTCTAGGTAGGACTGCAGTAAGTGCCCTGACTAAAACCCTGAAGACCCACCACCGGCCAGTGTAGCTAAAAGCCCAGCGTCTGTGAGGATGGCGGAGCTTATCAGGACTCCCAACCCCCCGGCCCTCAGAGCTGGACCTCAGTGTCCAGGCTGAAGGATGGAGGTGGAGATGTTCCTGCAGGTATACAGGACCGAGGCCGTTTAGGGCTTTAAAGGTCAGCACCAACACTTTGAATTGTGCTTGGAAACGTACTGGGAGCCAATGTAGGTCTTTCAAGACTGGTGTTATATGGTCTCACTGCAAGGTTGCTAGGAGGATAAAATTGGGGGTGGGGTGCAGACTGTGTATGCTGTTCTAGCTCCTTGCAGGAAAGGCAAGAGATAAATTGAAGAAGAAGAAGAAGAAGAAGAAGAAGAAGAAGAAGAAGAAGAAGAAGAAGGAAGTTGCACTGCTCCAATGTCTGGGATCACTAATTGAGTGCACGATTGGAAAAGGCTAAATAATTGGGAATTGAAGCTGCAGTGTTTCAGAGATATACGGTTAAAAAAATATTATTATTATTATTATTATTATTATTATTATTCAATGAAAACCAACAATACAATAATAAAAGAAACCTCATGATAATAATGGAATGATAAAGGGGATTTTATAAAAACCTTTTTAAAAAATCATACTTCCCAAACAAAGTAAGACTTGAATTGAAAGGGCATGAAATTTATTTCTTGGGTCGCAGGTTTCTAAAAACTCGTCGATTCCTAAAAAGGCGTCAGATGAGCAGCTGTCAAAAAAAAGGGCGAGGAGAGAAGTAGTCTAGAAGTAGCCCGGAAATCCTTCTCCAGGCAAGAGATGTACAGCTCTGCAGCTTTTTTTTTAAAAGTCTATGAGTCAGTTATGAAAGAGCCATTTCTGGGAAATCAGCTGACTATAAAGAAAGGAGAGTTTCGACTTCGGGGCCTGGGTGCTAGAGGGCGCTGCGAGACCAAAAAACGTAAAAATAGCAGCTGCGTAACCAAAATAGTTCAGATTATTAGAATAGGAGGAGTAGCAACTCGAGAGAAGCGAATAAACTTGTACAGTATATAAATATGGAGGAAATATATATGGAGAAGTTTCTCTCTCCCTTGCTCGTATTATTGGGAGGTTTTTAATGCTTGATGTTTTAATTATGTATTTACATATCTTGTAAGCTGCCCAGAGTGGCTGGGGAAACCCAGCCAGAGGGATGGGGTATTATTAATAATAATAATTAATAGTAATAATAATGCTGCTTTGGTGCCAAAAGCATAAGGCTATATTGCTATTTACTATATTATAGTCCCTCTTCTACAATAAATACCCAAATCAGCTTACAGAATAAGAAAGAACCTGAATACGTAAATTCATGAGTATGAGCAACAAAATAATATGTTCTTGACTTAATATTTCTATTCCACTTTTCCAGCAACAAATGCTGAGATCAAATTGGTTCACAATATTTAAAAACAGCAAGCCTTGCAATCCTTATGCCATCAAACACAAGAACATATAAAAAATGCAGCGAATTCGTCAAAATGATTGATCCAGTTCAATAAAGTCATCGTAATTCAAAATATCAGACAATATCAGAAATCATCAAAATGATTAATACAATTAAATAAAGATCGTAATTCAAAATAGCAGACACCAGAAATCATTCATCAAATATGATCAATACAATTCAATAAAGTCACCATGATTCAAGATACCATCAGACGATATCAGAAATCATCAAAATGATCGATATAATTGAATAAAGTCATCGTAATACAAAATATCAGAATGAGCTGCTGAGCACCAGCCCAGGGCAGAGAACATCTTCTGTCTGGGAAGACCATATCTTAATCTCAGATTATAATCAGGTTTTAGAGTGATGTACTTCTGTTCTGGATTCAGCAAAACTCCCACAAATATCCCCCAAACTTTGGACGGCCCAAATCCTTCAGGATGTGCTCATCCGCAGAGGCATCCCAGGTGGTTACCAGTGTGGTGTAGTGGTTAGAGTTGTGGATTTGTATCCAGGAGACCTGGGTTCGAATCCTCACTAGGCCGTGAAGCGTCTCAGCCTGACCTAGCTCACAGGGTTATTGTGGGAATTAAATGATGGGACCAACAGCCAAGTTGCTGTCTTGCAATAAAAGCAAGAGCTGTTTGACAGGGCGAGGGTCTCTCTGGGGAGGTGGTCTGGGGCGCTTGAGCTGAGATTCCTGCATTGCAGGGGGGGTTGGACTAGATGACCCAGCGGTCCCTTCTAACTCTGCAATCCTAGGATTCTGCGTTCTGCTTTGCCGCAGCTTCTCCCCTCCCTTCCTACACCCTCCCTGCAAGGTAGGACAGGAAGAGCTGCCAGGGGAAGGAGGGAGGGGGCGACTCCCAGCGAGGAGCTGCAATTACAGTACAGTGATACCTCGGGTTAAGAACTTGATTCGTTCCGGAGGTCCTTACAGTGGTACCTCGGGTTACATACGCTTTAGGTTACATACGCTTCAGGTTTCAGACTCCACTAACCCAGAAATATTACCTCGGGTTAAGAACTTTGCTTCAGGATGAGAACAGAAATCGTGCTCCGGCGGCACGGCAGCAGCAGGAGGCCCCATTAGCTAAAGTGGTGCTTCAGGTTAAGAACAGTTTCAGGTTAAGAACGGACCTCCGGAACGAATTAAGTTCTTAACCCAAGGTGCCACTGTACTTAACCTGAAACTGTTCTTAACCTGAGGTACCACTTTAGCTAATGGGGCCTCCTGCTGCTGCGCCGCCGATTTCTGTCCTCATCGCAAAGTTCTTAAGCCGAGGTACTATTTCTGGGTTAGCTGAGTCTGTAACCTGAAGCGCCTGTAACCTGAAGCGTCTGTAACCCGACGTGACACTGTACAGTACTTTCTCTTTCCCTCGCCAACCTCGCTCCCAAACTTGCGCCTCGAGGTCTGCCTGGCGACCGATGCCGCAATATGCGCGCCGATTTCTGATTGGCGGAATATTTCCCCCTCGCCCAATCCCGGCTCGCTCTGCTGCTGGTTCCGCAGGCGGGGCAGAGAGCGGGTCTCGGAGTCGGAGGGAGAAGGACGTCGCTGGAGTGAGAGGAGGAAAAAGGAGCTTCGTTTTGGGGGGAGATGGGGGTCCTCCTCTGCTGGCCCCCCCTGATCCTGTGGGCGGCTGCCCACCTGCTGCTCCTGGACTGCTCAGGTAAGGAGTGTGCTTTGGGGCGGGGGGAGAAAATAATTTGCACTAAGCTTTGGGGCGGGGGGGGACTGGACACATGAGACTTTGTGAATTGCATTTCGTGGGCACTGAAAGGGCGACCGGGGAGTTTCTTCTCCGAAGTGGAGCCGGATCCCTTCCCAAACATCTGTTTCCCAGACTTGGCTTGTTTTGTATGCCGCCCGGGGCAGGGGCCGCTTCACTCCTGGGCTCGGGGCTCAAGCAAAAAAGGATACAAAGCTTGAAGGTGTTGCCAGGTATTAATGAGGGGGGGGAGTGACTCCGATGTCCCGCCCCCTGCAGCTTCGTGTTGACTCTGGTCTGTCTGTGTGTGTGAGTGAGAGATAACAGATACAGAGTCTTCCCTCTTCTATTTTTTACCTTCCCTCTTCTAATCTAACCCTCAGCCGCTCTTAAAAACTCAGCTAAAAACTCAGGAGACCAGCCTGGGGGTGGGAGCTGGACGCGTGTAGAGCTGACTTCATTGCGGGGGGAAACGTCTGAATAAGGGTTCCCCACCCGCAATTCCCAATCTTGTGTTGTTCAGGAATTCCCTTTCACAGGCACATTCATAATCAGGTTCTTCTGCTTTACAGTTTGTTAAATATTCGGAAAAAGTCAGAAGCCCAAGTCACTATAACTTCCTCAACTAAGTTTATTCAACATTTGTCAGTGAGAACAGCTCACTCATAGGAACACGAGAACTAAAACTGGACAACACAATAATGAACGCGAGCATGAACTGACTGTTGAACTACCAACCTTCTGATCGGCAAGTCCTAGGCTCTGTGGTTTAACCCACAGCACCACCCACGTTCCTGCTTTACAATTGTAACCCCCCCCCCAAAGAAAAGCCTTTCCTGTTGCCTGTCAAAAATGTAGGTTTTGTAAATTATGCAGGGGGCTTCTCTGTGCCGTTTCTGTACAGCCCCTTTCACTACGTTTTGTGCCCAAAGGGCACAAACAACTCCTGAGAGAGAGTTTTGAATTATTCAAAAATAATTCAGAAAAGCTGGAGTCTCTGCCTGGCTTCTGGGGCTCCTAGACATGAAATTCCCTTGCTCAGAATATTCCTGCTCCCTCAGCCCACCAGTCGACTGGCTCTGCATACTATTCAAGGATTTATCCCTATTAAATTCTTAATTCCACATTCCTGATTGCTGCCTTTGGTGTTTTTCTCCTTTTGGGGTTGCCACTCATGTTCTCTGTTTAGCTAAAAAAAAATGTATAGCATACTCTTACCTGGAACCATTAACGAGCAATAATTCAGGATGAGCATATCAAGGGTGTAAAGCACAACAAAGATAATTACAAAATTGTATTATTTGCAGACAATATCCTTACAAAACCAGAAGATATAATTCCAAAAATTATGGAGAAAATAAAAACCTTTGGCAGAATATCGGGATATTCTATAAATTGGACTAAATCAGAGATTTTACCAATTGGGCCAAGGGCTACATTGTATAGAAACCATCAATTTCGGATGTTCAAAGACTTTATTAAATCTGTGGGTATAATGATTTCATCAGATATAGACCAAATTGTAAAATTAAATTTGAATCAAATTATAAATGAGATTTCTTTTGATATTGAAAGGCGGGGACCTCTAAACCTCTCCCTTTGGGGAAAGGTTAATGTCCTGAAAATGAATGTTGTTCCAAAGCTTTTATGCATTCTTAGAGGATTACCAATACATATTCCCAAATTTTACTTCCAAAAAATAAATCAACTATTTAGATCGTGCCTGTGGGGTACAAAGCCACCAAAAATGTCACTACATAAAATGCAACTTCCAATTAAGGAAGGCGGCTTTGGGCTCCCAAATCTGGAACTCTATCACCAGGCTTACCTGCTGAGTAAGACTAACGATTGGAGAGCTAGCAGGAATCCCAATTGGGCTACTCTCAAATATAGTTTCTTTGAACCTCTTGTAGGGTGGACTAAACTTGGCTCCAGTTTTATGAAATATCCTATTATGCTGGAGACTATTAAAACACCTATAAAAATTTGGATGACTGTAAATATAAATAATAAGGATGACCCCTATCAGCATGAGAAATTAACAATATGGGCCAACCCAAAATTAAAAATTGGAAATCAAGTAATAATTTGGCAAAATTGGATGAAAAAAGGTATTTTGTCATTGAATCAATTAATTGATGAAAATTACAAATTTGTGGAATGCAAGTAAAGTATGGATTAACCAGTGAAACACAATGGCACTTCATCCAATTGAAACATATGTCGGAAAGGCAGTTTGGCCCTGACGCTATAGCAGCATCTGAAAAACCCATGCTGCTACAAGATTTAATCTTGCACTATATAAAACCCTACTCAACAGGAAGAAATATGATTTAGAATATGATAGACAAAAATGGAGTGAAGAGTTAGGGGTACAGATAACAAATGATATATGGGAGTCTAGTATAAAATCAACAGAAATAAGACTAAGACTTATTTAACAGAAAATAATATTCAGAGTCCACTGGACTCCAGCAAAACTATACTGTACCAGAGGTGTTATGTATTGAAGTTCTCACCCTGGCCACCAGAGCTATTGTGTATATAGTTTTCACTCAGGTCCACGTCAGTTAATTTAGGCGGGAAACCCTGGTTTGTTGTTGTTACAATGTGACAGCCGGCTGCCTATAAAAGCAGGCCGGCTGTTTGCTGTTCAGATCAGTTCCAGCTTACTAATAATACTAATACTTGGAGGAATCTCTGTGTCGTCTGCTTTGTCAAACCACTACTTAATACTGGCGACGAAGGTGGGATCGGATGGACATCGCAGCACAGCCAGATTCAGACACTCACTGAGCTGAAACACTGAGTGAAATCACTGAACAGAACCCAATTCAAAGCTGACCGTTCTGGCTAGAGCACTGTGTTCCATCCATCGCCCTTCACGCCTGCATCGGAATCATGGCTTCACTCGTGCCTCTACCGCCGTTTGCGCCAGCCTCTGAATCATGGGAAGGCACTCCGTGTGACAGGGAGATTGACACCGGGTCTGCCTTGTCCGTCGTATCCTGGAGCACCATCAAAAGACTCATGCCCAAGCTGTCCAAGAGGCAACTTGACCCACACCGCATACATTTGAGAGAGTAGCAGGGGAACGACATTCCCGTGGTAGGCGTTGGCCGGTTCCGGATCGCCTTCAAGGATTTTTCGGGCCTGCTCCGACTGGTGGTGGTAGAAGGTCAGCGGCCAAGCCTCCTAGGGCTAGACTGGTTTGATGCCCTCGGCCTGGAAGTCACCGGCATCAACTGCATCTCTAACGCAGAGACTGAGGGTCTGGTCAAAGACTTTGCTGAGGTTTTTGATGGCACTTTGGGCCAATATACTGGTATGCCCATCTCCTTTAGCCTTGTCGCAAGTCGCCACCATCAAGCTAAAGCCACGCTGGGTTCCGTTCGCTCTCAAAGCTAAGGTGGACAAACAACTTGACAAGCTGATTGCGCAAGGCGTTTTGGAGCCAATTGGCCATGCCAAGTGGCAAACCCTCATTGTCACGCCTGTCAAGCCGGACGGGTCGGTGAGAATATGCGCAGTCAACAAGTGCATCAACAAGGCGCTTTAGCAGTACACTTACCCGGTTCCTGTCGTCCACCACCTGCTGCCTTCCCTGGGTGATGGCAAGGTCTTTGCTAAGCTGGACCTTGCCCAAGCCTATCAACAACTGCCCATCAATGACGCCACCGCTGAAGCTCAGATGATCATCACCCACCGAGGGGCCCTGGAAAATTGATGGGCCATGCCAACGCCCTCAGCTGTTGCTCTCTTCCAGCGTTTGTGGAAGACCCGGCTCCAGCTTCATCACTCCTCCTGATTGAGGATCTTCCGGCAGTGCCTGCATCGGCCGCCAACGTAGCCTCCGCATCTGCCCAGGACCGCACCATCAAACGTGTACTCAACTGGGTGTGGAGGGGGTGGCCGGAACGGTCTTTTGCACCAGAGTTCCAGCCGTTTGCAATCAGACAGCACGAGCTCTCGGCTCATCGCGGCTGCCTACCGTGTGGAGACCGAGTCGTGGTTCCCCAAAGACTCCGCCAACACGTCCTCGAGGCTCTGCACATCGGCCCCCCCAGGGGTCATCAAAATGAAGGCGTTGGCTCGGTGTGACGTCTGGTGGCCTAACATGGAAGATGCCATCACTTCGTGGGTTGCCTCCTGTCAAGCATGCCAAGAGTCGAGACCTGCACCGTCGGCAGCTAAGGGTAACACCTGGGAGATGCCCAAGGCACCTGGTCGAGGGTGCACATCGATCTGGCTGGCCCCTTTCACGGCCGGACCTTTATGGTAGTGGTGGACGCCTATTCCAAATGGCTGGAGGTGGCCCTGATGCCCTCCACCACTACCAGGGTGCTGCGCGGCCTGTTTGCAACTCATGGGTGTCCTGATTTCAAGGGGTCAAAAAAAAAAAAAAAGGATGTACCATGCTATATTAGAAGGGAAAAAACTTGTTTTGATGAATTGGAAGAGCTGCAAAAATATTCCTTTGAGCACATGGATTGATAATATGGACAGATTAGCTACATACAAACGAATTGCATGTCGACGCAAAATAAGAATGGATAAATATGAAGAAATCTGGAACGAATATTTAAGCAATAAGGCGGGTAGTGGTGGGAAGTAGGGGGTGCAGGGAAAGGTGGGAAAATATTGTTAAAAAGGTGTAGTCATAGGTATATCAGAGTATTCAAATCTGAATTGTCAAATTGTGTTATTATTGTTATTATGGTGTTTGTTGTATGTGTCTTTTGGGGTTGTTGTTTGTATTGAAAAAATGATTAAATAAATTACCAAAAAAATGTATATCCTACTCAATTGTGGGAAAAACTCATTCATTTACAGGAAACAGTAAAATAATAAAAACAGTTTAAAGCATTAAAAAATAATTAAAATTAGC